AATCCGACTTGGGTGGTGATATCAGTTATTTGATGTTTTGTACCATCAGTAGGTAACAATGACAAGGCATGGCTTTTGTATCCTGACCTTCTGCAAAATAATTTCCTAATCGGTGTGAGACGCCACAATGTTGGGATGTTTTGGAAGTTCCACTGAAAAAATAAAGGGTATAAATTCTAAAAGAATCTACCTGTACAACTGTCGTTGCCTTGAAATACATGAACATCTAAAAGAATTGAGGGTTAAAAAAGAAATACGTCGCACTCATTAATAAGCGATTTAACTTCCTTTTTAGTAGGAGTCAATTAAGACACCATGCATCGAAGATGCATAAGTACCAAAGGCTTTGTCTTTGCGCACTCAGGAAGGAGATAATAACTTGGTTGATTACTAAGTTCCATTGCTTTATAATAAAAAGTGCAGGACAAGAGGAAGATAGCAGTGTTTATTATTAACTGAAGTGCTCTAAAAAGAGTTCAAGAGGTTAGTGATATCAGCTGAAGCTCGTTATACTTTGAGAGGTGTTAGTTAGATGTTGCTCATGCAGGACGTTGGCTAAAACAGTTCTGTTGTTTACTGTTTACATAGCATATTAGGCGTAACAAAAAATCGGGTAAAGTTAGACATTGCTTCATCTTAATGCTGCCGAAAAAGATCATTTCTTTCAAACCATGCAATCTAAGAATAGATTTTGAAAGACAATAAAGACAGTATATAGATATCTTGTACATGTTTACCTCACATTAGCCGTCTTTACCTAACTCGTCCCCAGTCGCACAAAATTTTCGAAAGCACCAGATGAATTGCCTTCATGATAACCATGACCAGCAGAAAAGAATTGCGAGATATAAAAGAAATATTTTACTCTGCAATTAGTGATTCAACTTCCTTCATTATAGGAGACAATTAGACGCCGGCGATTTATATTTGTGACAAAAGCGCTCTTAAAAAGGTCAATATGTCATGAAAATGGATTCACTCTCGTCAGGCTTTGTCCTTGCGCACACAGAAAAACGATAATAAGAATTGGCTTACTTACTAAGTTTCACGGAATTGAAAGAAGGAGAAAAAGAACCCGGCGACATTTATTAAGTGCTCTGATAAGAGGTCAGCAGGTCAGTACAAAATATCAGCTGAAGCTCGAAATATTTGGTGGATTGACGTGTTGCTCATGCAAGGACGCGGGCTAAAAAGAGTCGCTTTTTAGGCAAGAGTGAATTGCAGGAAATTACTCATTTTTTTGTAATGAAGTTCCTAATCAGGGTTAAAGGTAGACAGCGTTTCATCCTAATCCAGCTAAATCAGATTATTTTTTAGATCACTCTAAGAATACATTGAGACAATAAAGACAGTATAGTACCTTTCTATACCTCACATATCACTGTAAAAGCTGACCGGTTACAAATTAAAGTCAGTTTCAAATTAAAGAAATTGTGTAGGTACACAAATGAGGTACACAAAAGAAACACACAAAAGACTGACTCCTCACTTCCGTTGACAAGGTAAATCTGTTTAGATGATTCAAAAGGTGACATTTGGAGCGGTAGCTCTTTTTAAGAGTGTATCGTTCAAAGCTTGGCTTAAAGTTATTAAAACCAATATCTCAACTTCCCCAATGACATTGCTCAAAAGTTGTGGACATTTTTTTACACTATTAAATCAGCTCTAGTTTCCTGAGAGAAAATGTTCATGCACCATAGTTGAACGCGTCAACGCGTAAGAGGAAAGAAAACAAGTCTCAGATTAGAAAATATACCAATAACTGCGACAAACCAGGGATTGGGAGGCTTAATTAAGTACTTATAGACGTCGACTTGATCGTTATTTACTGCATACAAAGTCAAAAACAATCCTGGACAGTACATGGTCCACACTGTTCGTAGCTTGTTGGTCCCTCTGGGCGTGTAAGTCCAAATCTCGAAGAATGATGCCGCAATTACAGGAAGAACATGAACAACAAAATACCCAATGTCTTGAAATTCCACATAGCCGTTCTCTTGTGACAGACAGACTATGCAAATTATCCACGAAAGGGAATTAATCATAGGAAAGAAAATGTCGTTGATAAATCTGCAAATCCCGTCCATGAACGCCACGTAACTTAGCAGAAATAAACAATAGAATACCAACTGAAATAACACGAACCAAGAACAAAGATAATTTATGTTGGCGAATTGCGACTGATACATAAACTTCCAAAGTACACAAAGTAACGTAGCAATGTAAAGACTGTTCCAGATTATGAAAACGCATTCGCCAATACTTTCTAGGCTGGCTTTTACATGTGACTGCTTTCTGTTTCCTTTAAGTTCATGTGTTGATGGTTGTTTGAAAAATCTTGATATTTTTGAACATAATATAGCACAGGCGATGTATAATGTGTTTAAGCAAACCAGCTCTGATGTTTCTAGCATGCTGAACTCTCCAAGAGTATTTGCATTGCTTATAATATATATGTATATCTTAACGACCAGGATGTTATGCAATATCTTCATCTTCAACTGTGATGCATGGTTAAATGTCTGCATCTATGACTTTCAGAGTCACTAGAACGGCAAGACGTGTAAGAATTAGGAGATTGTACATTATACTTTTGTTTCCCTGTAAAAAGGTTCCACCTTAATGCTCCATTTTTCTCACTAAAATGTTCGAAAACGCTTATCATAGAGAGGCCTATTTAATAACCTTTATAATCAAGTCAATCACATCGTTCAAACACTCACATTGTAGTTATCTACGTTTGTTTGTTGTTTTTTTAATTTCCTCGCACAATAAGCTTATTTTTTCAGATTGATATAAATTCCACAGATTTTGGAACTTTATTGCAACTTACGAGGATGTGCGTCACATCGAAACATGACTTATAAATTTAAAACAAGCGTGATCGCTTAAAAAATCGCGATTTTTTTGCCGCTTTGTGGCCCCTTTGGTCTCTTCTTTGTAGTTATTGTGGGATAGGGCTGGGCTTTTTGGTTTTTGGTGGAATATTCTCTACCAAATATTCTCGGCTGACACTCTCGGGAAAACAGCAACAAACGAGCGAAATGGACAAGAGAGTAGTGTGCTCATCATACAGTTCCAGTAGAAAACCCACCTAAACATTCATGGCGTACACCCCCGGGAAACGGCAAGAGACGCTCGAACTGGAAATGGGAGGAAGTGTTTGTGCGCTCATCATCAGAAAGCATTAGTCTTAAATCCCACCGGTACATCACCACCAAAACATTCATAGCGTATACACCCGGGCAAACGTCAACAATTTATGAGAAAATTGTTTGGATTTCATTGAAGAAAATGTATGAAGAGTATCTTTTCCCGCTGGAAAAATATTTTTGCCATTTTCATTATTTAGCTCTGATGAATATGTATCTTTTGGTTTGTCGACTCGACTTAGGGAAGTATGAGCCCCAATGTCGACTTCAATTGCTTTGTTTGACAGCAACTTATGTCTTTAAGCAGGTAAAAAAAGAATCGCTGCATTTTTATCTTTGTAGTTTTTTTCTCAAAAGTGACACCCACTAATTCGGTCCTTTCCTTTTTCGACACTGGCTCACGAAAAAGCATCATAGGTAATCTGTGGGTATTATTAAAGCTAACTTGTAGCCTTAACCAGTGTGGCCGGGGTTCGAGTCCCTTCGTAGGACGCCATAGGTGGGTTTCTTTTTTTTTGTTGGTTTTCGTCTCTGCTTCGAGAGGTTTTTCACTGGGTACCTCGATTCTCCCCTCTCCTCAAAGCCAACATTCCAAATTCCAATTCATTGTGGAACGTGTCGCCAATTGGGTCGGGCTCTTAGAGGGCGACCGTGTATCAGTACTTGGATTTTTCAAGTGTCACCTTCGTTAGCGTTTTTTCTCAGTATGTGGTTTTAAGTTGTAAGACTGACAAGACAGATCGGAATGTTAAGCCTTCATGAGTCAAGAACTGTTCGATTTATAACTTGAGACGTTTATTCCCAGTTTCGCGAATGGCCTATTGTCACTTAAGTGGCTTGGCCAATCCGGCCTTAGATCTACACATTCAGTTCCTTAGTTCTCCTAACCAGCTTAGCCTCAAAAGGAAATGGGAGACGTCTGTTTCTCTTGGGTCGTTCCGAAACTGCAAGTTTTTCCTACCACGCGCCGTGGAAACCGGCAGCTACGAAAGGCTAAAAAGCACGTCCAAATTGCGCTAAGATGACCTCCCCTTGCGATGAGGATGAATTTCTATGAGTTCAAACTTAGTAGAACATCAATAACATTGACTTATAAAAACTTTATTTCAAGCACTCTTAACTAGAAGATCCTTACACGACTGAAGAGTTAAACGGCAGTCAATTTAAAATCTACATACATTTAGTTTTGATAAACTATTCGGACAGCTAATATTACTATTAAAGTGGCCCTTTTAAAAGATGATGCCAAGATTAGCTTGTATATGACTTAAATCATCACTGTTTGGAAGAAACACCTTACAGCTGTTTGACCCTCCGAACTCTATCTCCAGCACTGTCCTCCTTATGGGCAAGACTAATCTGCGGAAGTGCAGACAAAGAACCGCCGAACCTGCGGAACCGGCGGAACCTAAAGAAATGTTTTTATTACAACTGCCTTTGGCTAACGTGATAAAATAATATGAGAGGATAGTCTTACCGGCTCCATATATTTCCTACAATACTGATGAGAATAATTTGTTAAACAAACGAAGATTTTTGATTTGGCGGTTATTCCCTTCATTGTGATGATAAGTAATTTAGCAAGATAAAAACTCTTAATTTAATAAGACAGAAACTCTTAAGTGCGGGGTCAAAGTTTTTCTAAGTTGAATGCAAGTAAACAAAGCAGCAGAGTATATAGACGGTTGCAGAGTATAAAAAAGTAACAAGTCAAATACATGCTGATAGTGACACCACCGGCAGCTATCTGTACATGTGCTGCGTATCACGCTTTACAATTTCTTCGACTGTTTTCTTTTACCTATCCTTTTAATCTATGAGTTATTGCCGTTTAACTCGACTTGACAGTTAGTAAAAAACTGATCCGGAACCAAAGAAAGCACATGCCTTAAAAAAAATACATTTCCAATAGACTATAATTCTTGGACACGTACACCATATACATCCGCAAACAAACCGAAACCAAGGAAAACAGAACCTTGCGGGATACCAACAAGACAAAAGGTTGTAAAATGTCCAGAAGACTTGCCGGGCGTGAGATCTACAACTCCAAGATGAACACGCGTAGATTTGATAGTAGGCCCTCCATACAAATGGACTATCACACTTGCAGCGATTCCCGATTGGCTGGCACCACCAAGGACCCCTATCGTGATCGACGAGACACCTAATAATAGAAAAAAATAGTCATAGAAGTATTATAAACAAGGTATACAGGTCTCAACTGTCGAACATCACATGCATTTAATTCATGAATAAGATTTGCACGGCGTGTGAAATAGGAGGTTGGAACCTGGTGATATAAGGATTTTGAAGGTTGTTCACAACCATCTTACGATCTATTTGAAACAAGCTTTTAGTTCACTTGGGATAACGTAACATAACCTTAGTTTGCTTCAGGCATGGGAAAAATCTAGCCGAGCAAGTCTTGGCAATTCTATTTAACGATTACATAAGTCGCCATTCAACAAATGCAAATGCAAATGTCCATACACATCGACATTATTTCATTATCTTGACAAAATACCTTGCTGTCTGCTCGAGAGTGTCTACTGTTTGCGGAAAGTGTAATTACTTTATACATAGACTTTTTGAAAAATATTAAATGGGTTTACTCTGAGTGTGACAAATTGATTGTTCTTAAATCTTTCCCAACTTCTTCTTAAAGGCGTTCTTTCCGTCCTGGAACTCACTACTCAAGCGAGACGCGAGTCTATACGAGGTGTGTTCGCTCGTCAATTTTTGAATCACGAACCTTACGACATTGTCGCAAATCATCTTGGAAAGGAGGCAGAAACTGAGATAAATAATACTCGCCAGAATTTTCAATAAAATACACCTTACCTTAAAGTCCTTTCTTTTAGGGCGGAAACTTGGAGTCATATGAAATCGCTTATATGGCAATGGATCGGGAAAATAACCACAAGGCAAGAAAAAACAAGTAAGGTAAATAAGGTAAAGAGTATTTCTTGAAAATTCTAGCAAGTATCTATATTCTTGAACTTTTACCTGAATTCCCTTACATTTTTTTTTATGTTCAAGGCCATTTTTAGGATTAGCAATATGAAACCACATGTATTTATGATTAAACTCTCATACTGAGCTTGGACCGCCTGTGTTATAACGATAATTATCTGTAAATCACTTTTATAACATTCCTCTAATAAACATCAAAACCTGTAGCTTGCGAATACGACCGTTTCTCCTCGCTACCTACCACTAGGGGCGTTTCGCGGAGGATACATGTAAGTCTGCGATTCGGCCCCCAAATTCCACACTGATAGCGTAAATCAATGTTTACATAATAAATCTAGTCGTCACTTGCATTTGTTTGAGTTCATGTTACGGTTATTTTTCGAACGTGCGGCAACAAAAGTCAAATGAATCAGAATTTTTTTATGGAATTAAGTGACTTCAATCTTTTGCCCCCTTTTACAACAGGCCAGACAGTCCAAATCTCGACTTATAATGTGACATTAATTGTTACCAGATATTGTACCTGTCATGCTCCATACATGCTTCATCCAAGCCATCCTGGGGCGGGAGACAGTCGCGACAAGCGCGGTTTACATAGCTTTTCGTTTGGGAACAAAACCATCGACAGTGAGGTTTTGGGTTGTTTGTATAACCACCCTGGTAAGCCCCGCACCAGTTTCCGTACCACCAGTCCAAACCACCGTTTCGCCACCCAATCCCGCGTCGACGACGTTTAGCGACTGACGAAGGCTGCTGAATCAGACTGGCATTGCTTGACGGAATACTATCATTTGTTTGATACGTAAGGTTGGTAGACAGTTCACGGACATTGTTCTCTATCGATGACTCAGGGGATAATTGGCTTTCTGTGTCTAAAAGTAATAAAGAGTAGTAAAATTAAAATACAATCCCAAAGCCCGCATTCTGATAGCTGAAGAACTCGCTATAGTATATCTTTCAGTACACAGACTCAGACAGCATGTCAATTGTGCCAGTAAAAAGAGTAGAAATATTGCTAAGAGCTACTCAGAAAACTGGGTGCATACCATTTACACAAACCATCTGGCTGAATATCTCTTATGTAGACAACCAGCAATTGAATGTGACCTTGTTGGAGAGTGATCCGCTTCAAAGAGTATGTAAATAAGCTGGAGAGACTCAAAAGAATCAGAGAGACAGCCCACATTTTCAGAGCTTCCTAAACGGTGGAATGGCGCAAACCACTTGATTCTCCAATTACATTTTCCTCATGTAAATGGCAAGTTTTTTAAGTTCCTAGAAACTATTACAATTCGAGCTGGTTTCTTGTTGGCTGCGGTTCCTTACTTGAACATGCGGCTCTTTTTCACTTTGTAACTTCTGCGCAGTTGCAAAACTATTCGTTTTAGTTTTTTAATGGATAACTTGGTTACCGAAGAAGCAATTTTCTCAGTTTCTTTCAGCTAGATCATGAAGACTTTAACAAAAGCGGAAGGTACGTTTATGTACTCGGCGGCTAAGTACAGCGTAGAGGTAGTTTTCGTTGAATTTATCCGTTTGGTTCTGACAATTTTTTCGTTAAGCTAACACTTTTAACAGACTTTTTAAACCCTAGCTTTTACTTGTCTCTTGAACTCTTCTTAATTTTTCATTTCGAATTTTTATAGCGGTAGCAAAATGTTTTTCATAACTATACTCCTTTCTGCCAATATTTAGGTTGGTAAATAGTTTGTTTTTGTAGCAAAACTAAAGATTCTGAAGTTTCTAGTAAGCAGACCGATAACATTCAAGCTTATAAACAACTGCCAGTAAGTTGACGACCGTTTGAAATCCCGTGCCTCTCCGCGTAATTTTTATTTAGTGCTTTGGAACTGTGGCCCTGTTCGCACTATGACAAAAAATAGAGTTTAGCGTTTGCAAAAATGTTTCCTTTTTGTAACCTTGTTAGCAGCTGAGATAAGAGAAAGTTTTGGCATCTTTGAAGTTTGGTGACAATTGAGAAAATGTTGTATGTGAAAAAAAAAATAGTAATAATAATCGTTCGCACTCGAAATGGCTTTTTTGCTAAACAAACTTTTGCTTAGTGCAAACAGGGCCTGTTTCAGTTAAATGTATTTTGTGAAATTTACGTGCCGTCGGCCGTTTTCTTCGAACATTCTACCACTTAACTTTCAAAATTTTTTTGTCTTATGCTACAAAGTGTGATGATAACCCCCTAGCTGACTGTTTACATGTAATTTCAGCGAAATATATCAGTTTAGGAGATCAATTCTGTCTTTCAAGATCTTTCAAACTTGAATTTGTATTGCGTGACCCGGCCTAAGATATTACGCCACCTATTCAGGTATTCTCTACAAATTCAAAAAAAAAATTATTGGATCCAAAGTGACCATGCACAAACGAGGGCAGATGACCGTGAGAACAGGTAAATTCAGACGGTCCTAAACGTACAAGCTGTTGTATTGTTAAACGCTTGAATGTTATTGGCCTATTAATTTAAGTCCACAAGTTTTTGTTCAATGCGTTCTGATTGGATGAACTTCTTCTAAGTGTCCCAGTTCGAGTACCGTAAATGCTCGATTTAGCGCCCAGCTGCAAATAAGCGCTTCCCTTCGAATTGGCGTCCCCCTTTTCGCGTTAGAAAATCAAATGAGCGCCCCGGGCGCTAATTCGCGCATTTACGGTAGTCGCACTTTAAAACTTACACAGCTTTGAATCATTGGATTGGTAAAAAGCCTCCTCGATTGTTTCATTTTCTTCATTGTATTTGTAGCAGTTAAGCCGTCTGTAGTCTGTAAAATTCATCTCACGTTCCTTAGAACGCATGTGGATTGTTCCATTTGGAAGATGCAAATAAATCTACCAAGTGAACAGCGGAATATGAGCGAGCGTAAACAAAAAAGCGCAACAATTGAACGTTTAATTATACAGGTATAAAAAAAAAACTCTACATTATAGATAAGAAAATGGTGCTTTCGTTTATCTTTCGTTTTTTTTTGACCGACCAATGTCAATGTTTGCAGAATTGTCACGAAAGCCACGTTTAAATGACACCGTCGTTTCCCTCGTTGATAAGGTGTAAAATAGTTAAAAAGAAAACGTGGCATGTGAACTAAATAAAACAAGTCAAATGTAATTCAAAAAAGGCGTCCATCGTTCACGTTATAAAAAAGAAAAAATAACTGAAATAGTCGTCTAGAAGTTTTAATTTTGATTCGTGGTATAAATGGGCTTACCTCGTATATCTTTCCATGATGCCCTTTTGCACGATAAACGTCCACCTCAGTGTCGTTGTCAACTTGGAAAAGAGAATGCGTCATATTGCCTTCAACATTTTCCTGTCATATAGAAAAGTTGAATAAAGGTGATATCATCGCACTGAGAACTTTTCAAAATTAGCAATGAAGCAGTCTCGTGGATTTGCTACAAGGTCATTTCGAAAATTTTTGGAAAGTGCCCCTGGAGAATAAGATGGCTACTTGCTGAAAATTCAATTACTCAGATTAGCGCGTATCACACATTTCTTTCATTGGCTTTTCGCCGTCAAATATTTCAGTTTGTTAATTATTTGCACTCTACAAGAAAAAAGAAAAGGAGAAGAAATACGGCTTTGGGTTTTTAAAGGGAAAATGTTGGAACTACTTAAATGAGCCTGAGTCTTACCGATTTCAAAGTGGCATGTTTCAGTAAATGTCTCGGAATCATATCTCCTTCTAGAACTGTGTAAATGCACTTTGTGGTGGAGTTTCCGTGTCCTGGAACAATGAAGTACTTTCTCTCCTGTTTTTTATAAACAAGTAGAAAAAAAAGGCGCCTTCATCTCAAGATTTATTGTCCCCCATTTAGTGATAATAGCTCCATATCGATCAAACATTAAGTGTTAAACCCGAAAGTTGACAATTTTAAACATGCATTGCTTTTCGATCGGTTTCCCCATTTCTAACTTACTATTGTCACTGTTACACACTGTATGAAACTGTATGAAGGCTTTTTGCAAATCTCTAAACACCGTAGAGGAGGGTACGTGAAAACATTCTCTTATACATCTGGGACAAAAAGCTAACCCATTAATCATTACAACATATACAGTTTAACTTGTTTTTGGTAGCCTGTTAGGGTGTGTTAGCTTCCCTCCAGATGATGACATTTTAAGGTTCTAGTCTATCTGTTTTCTGTTTAAAGCGAGAGCATCCCAAACATGTCCATCTGTTTTTGCGTAGCACCACTTGGAATAAGACGATAACAAAAGCCTATTCAGATGAGCTTAGCCAATGAACTCAGTGAAGAAAGGAAAATAGTGAAAGCTCGTTACATAGTTATATCATGAATACACTTATAAGGTTAAGAAGATGGCACAGTTCAATTCGAGTTTGAAAGCTGGCAGCGTAGTTTGTTAGCTGGTTTATAACTAACCGTGTTATAATCCTGTATGACGATTTTGGTTGCGTTGATACTGGTGCCGTTTGTAGTTCCATTTTCTTCAAATGACATGAGTCGTCGTCCAGATACTGGCGAAGAAGAAGGAGGATTGCCGAGTGAGGTGAGTTGAACAAGTTTCCTCTTGTAATCAACGACAATATGAAAGACTTCTCCTTCCCCGTTGTCAGTTACAAACGTGGCCTCTCCTTCCATGACTTCTGGTAATTCGGGGCCAGAATTAAACAATCCTGCTGCGTAAACGGATGAAATGACAACGGCTGCCAGGGCTATACCGATCAGAAGTGCAGCACATCTTACAACTGGCCTCGATAGGCAGCTCTTCCGCTTGAATGAAACTGCTGTGATTCAACAGAAGAAAGAAATGAAGTTTGTTACCTTGATGTCTATTAAAGAAAGTTTTCGAAGGATGACTTACATAGACGTGATTTAATGCTAAATGCTGAAAGGAGGTTAAATAAATACTTAAAATTCCAAATGCCTGATGGTGGTAATGACTTATTTTAGATACTTTTAAGGCGTTTTCAACAAATCAAATTGACGACGAGGAGAAATGGAGAGATACATTTTAGAGAAATTACCTTGATCTGAGTTTTCCTTATCCACTTCCTTCTGAATTGTATTTTCCATCCCTTGCAATATTTGAGGCAGTGATTGAGAAAGTTCATATAGACGTCCAAAATAATGTTTAGATATAAAAAAAAAATAAATAAAGAAAAATGATGCGTTAAACAGCTATAAGTAGCCTGAGGTATATATTTAGAGTCTATTAAAACAACGACAAAAGTAATACTCTTTGCAATCCTGTTAAAGAAATGTTCGAATAATATACTTTTTTTGGAATAAATATTTTCGCCATTACAGTGGTCCTTTTTAAGTGTCTAAGTGCCTTTTTCCCGAATTATTGGGACACAATACATAAAGGGACGTGCTAGGGTAAAATGTTCATGTGTTACTATTAAAGTATATGTTTCTTTTTTCCTTCACCGGCAATTATGAAGCTGTGAAAGGTTTGAACCTAGGATTCATTTCATAAGTAGCTTGAATTTGATCGTCCGGGTGAACGTAGTCCTGAATAGGACTGTTGTTGTTGACAGTGACTGCTAACAACAACAGTCCTATCCAGGACTACGTTCACCCAGACAATCCTACTCAACTTACAATTATGAAACTTAATCTTTATGCAGAAAACTGTTAGGCAAGACCTAAGACCTGCCAGGTTTTGTTTGACTAAGTAAACTTATAAGTGTTGAGGCCAACTTATGTTACTTTGCAGCTCACTGAAGTCTGAAGAGTTGCAACGATTTACTTTAAAACCATCCACTGGATGGTTTTATAACCGCGTGAATGTTAACTCACGTTATTTTAAAGTACAGAGTAATCTTACAACATAATTTGTATATGAAGCTTGACTTCTCATAAGATATTGTAAAGAAATCTCCAGTACACAAAGCCCCGGCACAAAACCATGCTAAGCTAGTCAGTATGACATTATTAATTCACAGTGGCTATTTTTGACGTAATTTTACCCAAAATAGATTTTTTTGGACATTTCTAGAACCTGTTATACTAAGGGAGCAATTTGTGAAAGAACTGTGCGAAGCTGTTGCGGGGGTGACAAGGTTTTGTTGTTAATTGATTGGAATAAATAAGCTTATGACGACTGTTCGGGGCCCTGTTCGCTTACCCCCGTTCGTCTAGTCAGCATTCGTGGAAATAAGACCCCCCCCCCTACCCCGCAAAATTTTTTTTTTTTTTCTTCTAAAAAAAGAAAGGAAAACTGTCAGCTCCTCAGTCTTCTCTTTAAGTTTGTTTTGTATATAGTGACAGTACGCATGAAATAGCCACCTACGAAAAGACTAATACCCTCCTCTATAGCTCCAATTTAGGGCTGTTAATTATTGCTCGGTTTAATTCAGAATGAAGATGACATGAGCCACTGAAAAACGAATCGTAAAAAAATGTTGGCTAATTTCGAGTTAATTTTCCCTTATATTAAAGAAAAGGATTTGGCTTGTATTTCTACGGCCATAATGGAAATAACAATAACGTCAATAAAGGCACAGGCTTGGAATGAAGGCTAAAGAAACTAAAGAAATGCCGGCGATAGTTTCTAGGAAAGTTTTGCCTTTCTACAACTAGTTAAATGCGTACGTGTACTTCCATTATAAATGACACTGGAAGAATGGAACATACCTCTTCCGAGAAATTATTGTATCCACGTTTAGTTGTTGAAGGAAGGAGTATTATGGTAAACGCGAAAGCAAAGGTGAATGATATAAGTGGACCTGAAACATGTGACAAACCACCTCCAGTGCTCCAATAAACCTCAATAACTCAGAGAAAACAATACATAGGTAACTTATGACGTGCCTTAACAATAAAACTAGAGCAAGTCAGAATTCGGTTCATTTGGCAGGAATTATGATATGCTCTCGTAAGACAAAGGAAAAAGAGAAAGTTCGCCACATAATGGAAAAACTGCTCTGAAAAGGGGTCAAAAATATCATTTCTTTGTGATGAAGTCCGTGGGAATTTTTACGGGTGACTTGGCGAGAGTCTACTTCCTTTCCATACGATTGTTAAAAGAGGCCAACTTTAGTAACTAGGACGATTCAGTCGTGGCATTTTCTTAGTGTAAAGAATCTCAGGTAAAAACCCACCTTGGGTTGATATCAGTTATTTGATGTTTTGTGATCATCAGAGGGTAACAATAACAAGGCATGACTCTTGTATCCTGGCCTGCTGCATAATAATTTCCCAATCGGTGTGAGACGCCAAAATGATGGGAAGTGTTGGAGGTCCCACGGAAAAAATGAAGGCTAAACTTCCAAAAAAATCTACAGCTGTCATTGTCTTAAAATACATGAGCGTTAAAAAAGAACTGAGGATTAAAAAAGAAATACGTCGCACTCAGTAATTAGTGATTCAACTTCCTTTATCGTAAGAGATAATTAGACGCCATGCACCGAAGATAAATAAGTACCAAAGGCTTTGTCTTTGCGACTCAGGAAGGCCCTAATAATAACAAGGAGAAGAGGAAACCCGCAATATTCATTATAAACTGAAATGGTCTAAAACGAGGTCAAAAGTCCATTAATATTAGCTGAAGCTCCATCTATTTCGAGAGGTGATAGTTAATTGCTGCATATGCAAAACGCGGGCTAAAACAGTTCTGTTGTTTACTGTTCTACATCTACATTTATTAAGTTGATAAAATCTTTCAAGGCATCACATCAACTGTAATAAAAGCTAAAGTAAAATATATATATATACATATATGTACATATGCAGAAGTTGAATAAAAGTAAATATGTCAAATAACAAAATAAATAGATGATAATTCAAAATTGTAATTTACTTCACTTATTTCACGTGCTTTTAAATTTAACTTAAAATCAGATAATGACTTGCAATTTACTAAGGAGGCTGTATGCTTTACATAGCATATTTGACGCGGCAAGTAATCGGATAAAGTTAGACATTGATTTATCTTAATGGAGCCGAAAAAGATCATTTCTTTCAAACCGTGCAATCTAAGAATACATTTTGAAAAAAAATAAAGACTCTTTAATACCGTGTACATGTTATACCTCACATAAGCCGCCTTTCCCTGACTCGTCCTCAGTCGTACAACTAATTCGAAAGCCCAAGATGGATTGCCTTCGTGAAATCCATGACCAGCAGAAAATAATTGTGAGATACAAAAGAAATAATTTACCCCGCTCTGCAATTAGTGATTCAACTTCCTTGATTATAGGAGACAAGAAACCAGTGATTTATAGTTGTGACAAAGGCGCTCTTAAATGGTCAAAATAAAATGAAAATGGACTTACTTAGGCTTCGCCTTGGCTCGCGCAGGAAAACGATAATAATAATTGGGTTGCTTACTAAGTTTTACGGAATTGAAAGAAGAAGAAAAAGAAGCCGCGGACATTTATTATGATCTAATCAAAATATCAGTTGAAGCTCGAAATATTGGGAGAGGTGTTGCTCACGCAAGGGCGCGAGCTAAAAAGAGTTGCTTTTAAATTGCAAGAAATTACACATTTCTTTGTAATGAGGTTCCTGATCAGGGTGAAAGGTAGACAGCGTTTCATCGTAATCCAGCTAAATCAGATTATTTCTTTCAGATCACCCTAAGAATATATCGAGACAATAAAGACAGTATAGTACCTTTTTATACCTTACTTATCACTGTAAAAGCTGACCAGCGTTACCATGACTGAAAAAAAAGGGTCATAAGTGGAATCTGAAGAAATGAATGTTTTTAGTTCAAGTAGCTAAACTGATTAATGGTTCGAAATAACTACTGGATTTATTATTGAATTAATCCTCCTTTTTTAACGCTGCTTAACTATTAACAGTGGTTACAACGACCTTACTCTTAGAAGCCCTAGAGGAGTAAACTTCGCCACTTCAACAAACACAATAAACAACAATTTTAATACACTAGGAGAAACAAAACATAATATCAGTAATAAAACTACTGGAATGAAAATAAGTGGAAATTCGCCGTGGATTACCGGACGAGTTGTTAGAAATGTTGAGTTGAACCTATGAATAATGATGTTAGTTTCAAATTAAAAAAATTATGTAGTTGCACAAAATAAACACACAAAAGACTGACTCCTCGCTTACGTTGACAAGGTAAATCTGTTTCGATGATTCAAAAGGTGACATTTGAAGCGCTACTGAGCTCCTCTTGAGAGTGTATCGTTCAAAGCTTGGCTTAAATTTATTAAAACCAATATCTTAATTTCTCCATGACGCTGCTCAAAAGTTGTCAGGACATTTTTTTTACACTGTCAGCTCTAGTTTCCTGAGAGAAAATGTTCGTGCACCATAGTTGAACGTGTCACCGCGTAAGAGGAAAGAAAACAAGTCTCAGATTAGAAAATATACCAATAACTGCGACAAACCAGGGATTGGGAGGCTTAATTAAGTACTTATAGACGTCGACTTGATCGTTATTTACTGCATACAAAGTCAAAAACAATCCTGGACAGTACATGGTCCACACTGTTCGTAGCTTGTTGGTCCCTCTGGGCGTGTAAGTCCAAATCTCGAAGAATGATGCCGCAATTACAGGAAGAATATGAACAACAAAATACCCAATGTCTTGAAATTCCACATAGCCGTTCTCTTGTGACAGACAGACTATGCAAATTATCCACGAAAGGGAATTAATCATAGGAAAGAAAATGTCGTTGATAAATCTGCAAATCCCGTCCATGAACGCCAAGTAACTTAGCAGAAATAAGCAATAGAATACCAACTGAAATAACACGAACCAAGAACAAAGATAATTTATGTTGGCGAATTGCGACTGATACATAAACTTCCAAAGTACACTAAGTAACGTAGCAATGTAAAGACTGTTCCAGATTATGAAAACGCATTCGCCAATACTTTCTAGGCTGGCTTTTACATGTGACTGCTTTCTGTTTCCTTTAAGTTCGTGTGTTGATGGTTGTTTGAAAAATCTTGATATTTTTGAACATAATATAGCACAGGCGATGTATAATGTGTTTAAGCAAACCAGCTCTGATGTTTCTAGCATGCTGAACTCTCCAAAAGTATTTGCATTGCTTATAATATATATGTATATCTTAGCGACCAGGATGTTATGCAATATCTTCATCTTCAACGGTGATGCATGTTTACATGTCTGCATCTATGACTTTCAGAGTCACTAGAACGGCAAGACGTGTAAGAATTAGGCCATTGTACATTATACTTTTGTTTCCCACCTTAATGCTCCATTTTTCTCACTAAAATGTTCGAAAACGCTATCATAGAGAGGCCTATTTAATAACCTTTATAATCAAGTCAATTACATCGTTCAAACACTTACATTGTAGTTATCTACGTTTGTTTGTTGTTTTTTTAATTTCCTCGCACAATTAGTTTATTTTTTCAGATTGAAATAAATTCCACAGATTTTGGAACTTTATTGCAACTTACGAGGATGTGCGTCACATCGAAACATGACTTATAAATTTAAAACAAGCGTGATCGCTTTGTGGCCCGTTTAGTCTCTTCTTTATAGTTATTGTGGGATAGGGCTGGGCTTTTTGGTTTTTGGTGGAATATTCTCTACCAAATATTCTCGGCTGACACTCTCGGGAAAACAGCAACAAACGAGCGAAATGGACAAGAGAGTAGTGTGCTCATCATACAGTTCCAGCAGAAAACCCACCTAAACATTCATGGCGTACACCCCCGGGAAACGGCAAGAAACGCTCGAACTGGAAATGGGAGGAAGTGTTTGTGCGCTCATCATCAGAAAGCATTAGTCTTAAATCCCACCGGAACATCACCACCCAAACATTCATAGCGTATACACCCGGGCAAACGTCAACAATTTATTAGAAAATTGTTTGGATTTCATTGAAGAAAATGTATGGAGAGTATCTTTTCCCGCTGGAAAAATATTTTTGCCATTTTCATTATTTAGCTCTGATGAATATGTATCTTTTGGTTTGTCGACTCGACTTAGGGAAGTATGAGCTCCAATGTCGACTCCAATTGCTTTGTTTGACAGCAACTTATGTCTTTAAGCAGGTAAAAAAAGAATCGCTGCATTTTTATCTTTGTAGTTTTTTTCTCAAAAGTGACACCCACTAATTCGGTCCTTTCCTTTTTCGACACTGGCTCACGAAAAAGCATCATAGGTAATCTGTGGGTATTATTAAAGCTAACTTGTAGCCTTAACCAGTGTGGCCGGGGTTCGAGTCCCTTCGTAGGACGCCATAGGTGGGTTTCTTTTTTTGTTGGTTTTCGTCTCTGCTTCGAGAGGTTTTTACTGGGTACCTCGGTTCTCCCCTCTCCTCAAAACCAACATTCCAAATTCCAACTCGTTGTGGACAGTGTCTCCAGTTGGGTGGGGCTCTTAGAGGGAGATTGTGTATCAGTGCTTGGAACTTTAAAGTGTCACCTTCGTTAGCTTTTTTTCTCAGTCTGTGGTTTTAAGTTGTAAGACTAACAAGACAGATCGGAATGTTAAGCCTTCATGAGTCAAGAACTGTTCGATTTATAACTTGAGACGTTTATTCCTAGTTTCGCAAATGGCCTATTGCCACTTAAGTGGCTTGGCCAATCCGGCCTTAGATCTACACTTTCAGTTCCTTAGTTCTCCTAACCAGCTTAGCCTCAAAAGGAAATGAGAGACGCCTGTTTCTCTCGGGTCGTTCCATAACTGCAAGTTTTTCCTACCACGCGCAGTGGAAACCGGCAGCTACGAAAGGCTAAAAAGAACGTCCAAATTGCTCTAAGATGACCTCCCCTTGTGATGAGGATGAATTTCTATGGGTTCAAACTTAGAAGAACAACAATAACATTGACTAATAAAAACTTTATTTCAAGCACTCTTAACTACAAGATCCTTACACGACTGAAGAGTTAAACGGCAGTCAATTTAAAATCTACATGCATTTAGTTTTGATAAACTGTTCGGACAGCTAATATTACTATTAAAGTTGCCCTTTTAAAAGATGATGCGAAGATTAGCATGTATACGACTTAAATCATCACTGTTTGGAAGAAACACCTTGCAGCTGTTTGACCCTCCGAACTCTATCTCCAGCACTGTCCTCCTTATGGGCAAGACTAATCTGTGGAACTGTAGACGGAGGAACCGCCGAACCTACGGAACCGGCGGAACATAAAGAAATGTTTTTATTACAACTGCCTTTGGCTAACGTGATAAAATAATATGAGAGGATAGTCTTACCGGCTCCATATATTTCCTACAATACTGATGAAGATAATTTGTTAAACAAACGAAGATTCTTGATTTGCCGGTTATTCCCTTCATTCTGATGAACTTAATGTTTGATCAAGAAGTAATTTAGTAAGATAAAAACTCTTAATTTAATAAGACAGAAACTCTTAAGGGCGGGGTCAAAGTTTTTCTAAGTTGAATGCAAGTAAACAAAGCAGCACAGTATTAGACGGTTCCAGAGTATAAAAAAGTAACAAGTCAAATACATGCTGATATTGACACCATCGGCAGCTATCTGTACATGTGCTGCGTATCACGCTTTACAATTTCTTTGACTTTTTTCCTTTACCTATCATGTTAATCTATGAATTATTACCGTTTTACTCGACTTGATAGTTAGTAATAAACTGATCCGGAACCAAAGAAAGCACACGCCTTAAAAAAAATACATTTCCAATAGACTATAATTCTTGGACACGAACACCATTTACATCCGCAAACAAACCGAAACCAAGGAAAACAGAACCTTGCGGGATACCAACAAGACAAAAGGTAGTAAAATGTCCAGAAGACTTGCCGGGCGTGAGATCTACAACTCCTTGATGAACACGAGTAGATTTGATTGTAGGCCCTCCATACAAATGGACTATCACACTTGCAGCGATTCCCGATTGGCTGGCACCACCAAGGACCCCTATCGTGATTGACGAGACACCTAATAATAAAAAACAAAGTCATAAATAGAAGTATTATAAATAACGTATACATGTCACGACTGTCGAAAATCACCTGCATTTAATTCGTAAATAAGATTTTCACAGCGTGTGAAATAGGACGTTGGAACCAGGTGATATAAGGATTTTAAAAGTTGTTCACAGCCATCTTACGATCTATTTGAAACAAGCTTTTAGTTCACTTGGGATAACGTAACTCAACCTTGGTTTGCTTCAGGCATGGGAAAAATCTAGCCGACCAAGTCTTGGCAATTTTATTTAACGATTACATAAGTCGCCATTCAGCAAATGCAAATGCTAATGTCCATACACATCGACATAATTTCGTTATCTGTCTGCTCAAGAGTCTCTACTGTTTACGAAAAGTGTAAATTACTTTATACATAGATTTTTTGAAGAAATTAAATGGGTTTGCTCTGAGTGTGACGAATTGAAATTGTTCTTAAATGTTTCCCAACTTCTTCTGAAAGGGGGCGTTCTTTCCGTCCTGGAACTCACTACCCAAGCGAGACACGAGTCTATACGAGGTGTGTTCGCTCGTCAATTTTTGAATCTCGAACCTTGCGACATTGTTGCAATTCATCTTTGAAAGGAGGCAGAAACTGCGTTAAATAATACTCGCCAGAATTTTCAATAAAAAAAATGGATCGGGAAAATAATCACAAGCAAGGAAAAACAAGTAAAGTAAATAAGGTAAAGACTATTTCTTGAAAATTCTAGCGAGTATCTATATTCTTGAACTTTTACCTGAATTCCCTTACAAATCTTTTATGTTCAAGGCCATTTTAAGGATTACTTAATATGAAACCACATGTATTAATGATTAAACTCTCATACTGAGCTTGGACCGCCTGTGTTATAAGGATAATTATATGTAAATCACTTTAATTTATAACATTTCTCTAATAAATATCAAAACCTGTAGCTTGCGAATACGACCGTTTCTCCTCGCTCCCTACCGCTAGGGACGTTTCGCGGAGGATACATGTACGTCTGCGATTCGGCCCCCAAAATTCCACACTGTTAGCGTAAATCAATGTTTACATAATAAATCTAGTCGTCAATTGCATTTGTTTGAGTTCATGTTACTGGTCACTATATTTCGCCCCCTTTTACAACAGGCCAGACAGTCCAAATCTCGTCTTATAATGTGACATTAATTGTTACCAGATATTGTACCTGTCATGCTCCATACATGCTTCATCCAAGCCATCCTGGGGCGGGAGACAGTCACGACAAGCGCGGTTTACATAGCTTTTCGTTTGGTCACAAAACCACCGACAGTGTGGTTTTGGGTTGTCTTCATAACCACCCTGGTAAGGCCCGCACCAGTTTCCGTACCACCAGTCCAAACCACCGTTTCGCCACCCAATCCCGCGTCGACGACGTTTAACGACTGACGAAGGCTGCTGAATCAGACTGGCATTGCTCAAGGAAATACTATCATTTGTTTTATGCGTAAAGTTGGTAGACAGTTCTCGGATATTCTTCTCTATTATCGATGACTCAGGGGATGATTGGCTTTCTGTGACTAAAGATAATGAAGGTTAGTAGAATTCTACTAACATGCCATCGCACGCAAACCCGCATTCTGATCGCTGATTAACATGCTATATCTTTCAGCTCATAGACAGCGTGTAAATCGGGCCAATGGAAAGGGTGAAAATAATCCTAGTGGCTATACTTGGATAACTGGGTGCTTACCATTTACACAAATCATCCGGTTGAATGTCTCTTTTGTAAACATTCAGCAATTGAATTTGACTTTGTGGGAGAAGGACCCGCTTCAAAGAGTATCTAAATAAGCTGAAGAGACTCAAAAGAGTAGAGAAATTGGATTGGCTCAAACGGCAGCCCTCATTTTCTGTTCTTTCCAAACGGCGGAATGGAACAATTTTTGATCCTCCAATCACAATGTCCGGTTTCCTCATGTAAATGGTCAGTTTCCCTTCATGTAAACCATTCAAATTTTTAAGTTGTTTTCTTCTTGGCTGCGGTTCTTTACATAAAGATGCGTTTTTATCTCTTTGCAGGACACCGCTCTGCAGCTGCAAAACTATTGCTTTTAACCTTTTTAATGGATAACTTGGTTACGGAGGAGGCAATTTTCTCACGGTTTCTTTCAGCCAGATCATGAAGACCTTAACAAAAGCGGCATTTACGTTTACGTACACGTCTGCTAAGTATAGATGTGTACATGTAAATTTGTTTACTTAGTTTGTATCCCGCTCCGTTCTTCCAGTTTTTCTACCAAGCTGAAACTTTTAGCAGACTTTTAAAACCCCAGTTTTCTCTTTTTGTAAAACTCTATTGTCTTTTTATATTTGGAAATTTTGGAGCAAACAGTATTTCGAAAATTTCTTTCTGTTTTTTTTTTCTTTTTTGTACATGTCTTCAAAATAAATTTTAGTTTAGAGTTATCGGTTTCTTTGCTGTCTAGCCCGATAAAATTGATAAAAAGGCGCCAAAAAGTACTCCTTATTTACTCTTTGCCAGACGTAGAAAAAAGAAAGTGCTAGCAAGGTTTATTAAATTGGTTAGAAGGCTCACTCTCAGCTATTTGGTGATAAAAAACTCGAGTTCGTCTTTGGATTGTTAATAATTAGTTAAGTTGCGAATACTATGACGCCTCCCTGGGGGGTACTCAACAAAGGCTCTGCCCCGAGGTAAGAACTAGGCGAAATAATAGCTAAAAACATGGTAAGAACAGCAAGAAGACAACTCGAAGGGCGACGCCTGCTATTTGGAGAATATTTGCGGAGCTGAACAACCCTAAACGTGCACTATCGAAGATGAACGTAACATTGATGGACGGTAAGCATAATTCTTCATAAGATACTCATCCTCATTCATTAATTGTTAATTAAATCACAAAATCTGGATATTTTCTCGCCTTTTTCACAGCCATAAAATCTTTCTGTTTGCTCTTTTACGTCCTTTCACAGACCAANGCCAAAAAGTACTCCTTATTTACTCTTTGCCAGACGTAGAAAAAAGAAAGTGCTAGCAAGGTTTATTAAATTGGTTAGAAGGCTCACTCTCAGCTATTTGGTGATAAAAAACTCGAGTTCGTCTTTGGATTGTTCATAATTAGTTAATTGCGAATACTATGACGCCTCCCTGGGGGGTACTCAACAAAGGCTCTGCCCCGAGGTAAGAACTAGGCGAAATAATAGCTAAAAACATGGCAAGAACAGCAAGAAGACAACTCGAAGGGCGACGCCTGCTATTTGGAGAATATTTGCGTAGCTGAACAACCCTAAACGTGCACTATCGAAGATGAACGTAACATTGATGGACGGTAAGCATGTTTTAGCTAATTTTTTTGAATGAATAATAAAACAACTATTGAATTCGGCTTTCGTATCATATGAAGAATTATGGAGATCTCAGAGTGTGTTATCCGCCTCGGCCGATAACACCCTCCTCGATCTCCATAATTCTTCATAAGATACTCATCCTCATTCATTAATTGTTAATTAAATCACAAAATCTGGATATTTTCTCGCCTTTTTCACAGCCATAAAATCTTTCTGTTTGCTCTTTTACGTCCTTTCACAGACCAAATGATAGATTTCCCTTTCCTCTCATTTACTTTAGCTACTGAAATCCCTATCCTTTCCAAGCCCGAAAAAGGTACCTCTTTCGGAAGGGTCCTCCGCGTATAAGCAATTATAGGGAGTACCCCTCGGGGAATATGCAGTGAAAGATGTAATTTTGTGTCCTTTTTAGGCATCAGTCAATGATACTGTCGCAGATCTAAGGAGAAAATAAACGACAGTGTTCTGAAGCAAAGAAGTAAAAAAGTATTAATATTTACACAGCTTTGAATCATTGGATTGGTAAAAAGCCTCTTCGATTGTATCATTTTCTTCAATGTATTTGTAGCAGTTTAGCTGCTTGTAGTCTGTGAAGTTCATCTCATGTTCCTTGGAGCGCATATGGATTGTCCCATTTGGAAGATGCAAATAAACCTAGCAAGCGAACACGAGAGTATGATCTAGAGTTAACAGAAAAGCTAAATTAAAAAAAAAAGTTCATTCTAGATAAGAAAATGATGATCAATATACTAGTTCTTTCTTCCTATTAATAAATTATTTTGTTTCTTCCTTTTGTGTATATTCATTTATTCATTTCACTGCCCCGGCCCATCTCGACGTTTGCTAAATGTTCGATTCATAAAAGCCACCTTTGAGTTGAAAACAAAACTTCCAGGATCAAATGATCGATTTCACGCGGGATCAGGCGTTCAAGAGTTGAAAAGAAACGTGACAGATATTAAGAAAGTAATAAACAGTTCAAAGAGTCGCTCGTCTGCCATGTTCACAAAATTACTAAAAACGAGAAGAAAAACAAACAAAACAAAAAAAGCAGCAACAAAAGAGAAATACTCAGCCTAGAGTTTTAATTTTGATCTCTCGTGTTAACAGTTACTGACCTCGTATATCTTTCCGTGAAGTCCTTTTGCACGGTAAACGTCCACTTCAGTATCATTATCAACTTGGAAAATAACGTGGGTCAAATTCCCTTCGATATTTTCCTTTATTAAAAAGAACCGAAAGAAGGAAAATGTTAATTAAATTTCTCTGCTTATACAAACTGTAGTGAACGGAAAAGTATGCAGAAGTAAAAGAATCACGGGGAAGAAATGAGGCGTTGTCGGTGACAGCGTCTTCTTCACAGTTTGTTACTAAAACATAGATCTTGAATAACCTCAATACTGTTCCTAAGCATTTTTGTTGTTGCATTGACTTGGGCGCTGGTTGGATTATGCTTCCGTTAAAAGCATACACTCGACTTGTTCACTGCTTACCGACTTCAGAGTTGCATGTTTCAGTAAATGTCTTGGAATCATATCTCCTTCAAGAGCTGTGTAAATGCACTTCGTGGTGGAATTTCCATGCTCTGGAACGATGAAGTACTTTTTTTTCTGGGAGGTAAAGGAAAACGAAAATTCGATAAACATTTCATTATAACCGGTAGATATGTTTGTTTATGCCCCCAAATTATTGATGACAAATCAATACTATTTATGCTTCTATTAAAAGATCAAAGTTGGTAAAACAGCTAGGGGTAGCTTTTGTGTACATGTACTTAATTTGAAACAGCACCGTGTCGTGAACCTAGTTAAATAGTTATTTAGTTTTTCCAAAGAAACCGCGATGCTGCTGAGAATTTTTTATCAACATTTTAGTCTGTTTCAAGGTGAACTGGGCGCCGTGAAGAGTATCAAGAGCTAAACCCTCATCAGACAGAAATGCCGTACACCGACGATTCACTATGGCGAGAACGGCGCTGGAATAAATCTATAGTCGGTGGCCAACCTACATGTCCGATATTCGCTCGAGCAGTTAATAAGAAACAATCCTAGCTGACAGTCTCGCACTTGATTTCTGTTTACAAGGGACCCTTTTATCTGGGATATAGCATGTTGCCTGGCCTGCTGTACCAATACGTCTCCAGCAATTTACGGGGGCCTTTCTGCAAGAACTCTGACATTAAGGTAATAAAGTCAAAAAAAAGAAAGCTCTCTAGATGAACGTAAAATAAATGTCATATTAAATATTGTTTAAGTCTGCTGTTTAGGTCCACTGCAGTGGGTAGAATATCCATTGCTGTTTTAAAAATGTCAAGCAGAAATTCAGTTTTATCATGAAATATGTCTTCAACAACAAATTTGCTTTGTTTTTTAAACATGAGTACCTTACCGTGTTGTAATCCTGTATGACGATTTTGGTGGCATTGATATTGGTCCCATTTGCTGTATCATTTTCTTCAAAAGACATAAGCCGTCGTCNGTCATATTAAATATTGTTTAAGTCTGCTGTTTAGGTCCACTGCAGTGGGTAGAATATCCATTGCTGTTTTAAAAATGTCAAGCAGAAATTCAGTTTTATCATGAAATATGTCTTCAACAACAAATTTGCTTTGTTTTTTAAACATGAGTACCTTACCGTGTTGTAATCCTGTATGACGATTTTGGTGGCATTGATATTGGTCCCATTTGCTGTATCATTTTCTTCAAAAGACATAAGCCGTCGTCTCGATAGTGGAAACGACGAGGGCAGATAACCCACTGAAGTAAGCTGAATTAGTTTCCTCTTATAATCGATGAGCACATGGAAAAATTCTCCTTCCCTGTCGTCAGATGAAAAGGTAGCCTCTCCTTCCATTACTTCTGGTAACTCGGGTCCAGAATCAAACACTCCTGCTGCATAAACGGACGAAATGACAACGGCTGCCAAGGCTATACCAACCACAACTGCTGCAACTCTTACCGAAGGTTTAGAGAAACACTTCTTTCCTTTGATTTCAACTGTAATAACATAGCAAATACAAAGATTAGTATTATACCTCCTCGGGTTGCAAAAGGATAATTCGGCTTATGATTCAGTTTATGGCCCGGGGACCCTTTTATGGAAAGGATTATCAGGGAGGCACTTATTCAAAGGTAGTGTTTCAAACGTGGCGCCTAGCTTCTTTTGTTCGGCGCTTGATTAGTTGCAAAAGGAAACGACCCGTAAGAGACATTATGACGTACAGCTTAACTGAATCGGCGTTGTATTTGGCTTTGTTTAGTTTGATTTTATTTTTGAACGAAAACGCACTGGGAAAGGGCTGCTTATTAGAAAGAGAAAGAAGTTAATCCTAAGGAATTAAAAGGAGAACGTTTTCGAATATAGGATAGATAAAATTACAACATACCTCAATTAAAAAAAAAGCAAAACAAAAAACAAAAAACAAAAAGTACCCGGTCAATTACTTAGAGTTGTAGGCACTCATTAATCGTAAAAAAAAAGATACGACTTTTTATTCTGAAAATTACCTTTTTGATCTTCACTTTCTCTCTCCGTTTTCTCTTGCACTTTGTTTTCCATTTTAACATTGGCTTCGTAAGTTTAAAGTTAAGGGTTAGTAACAATAAAGGAACAGCAAGAACATATGCAGTCTTGTTCAACCACCATCATTTAAACTCTTATAATATTTATTGTGATTGGACCTTCCCAATGTCCTATGATTAATGCCCTACTTTAATTTGCTAGAATTTCTCTCGTTAAGTAATATGCTAACCGGTTGCACTACGTGGTGAAAAAGCTGTCACTCTTTGTAATCAGTATAAAAAAGTCCCACCGAGTATAATCTCAGGAATATGAAAACATGTAAAATTCTCCTGAATTGTCCTGATTAGTTCTAATACGTCTAATATTTTCGATTATTTTCTACTTAAGAATGAACTCAAGCCTTCCGTAAAAGACTATTTGGTGCGGCGGAATTATTCAACTAGTCATACAGGTTTATACAAAGTTGAAATCAGAAGAAGCACCATACCTGTTGCTAAATGACTGCCTTTCTTAGGAGTTATTCCTTAGGGAAACTAATTCTGTGGTATAAAAGGATTCAAATATTAGAAGTGCAAGGCAACTACACGACTCTGCGCCGAACACCACTTCTTTATAATCGGAAATAATGTTCGTGTCTGCTTTTATACGCGTTGTTTATTAAAAAAGGGACAATCGTTCAACTAATCAGTGACAATTGACGTTCTGTTGGAAAAACTACAGACAATGCGGTGGATCTATTGTTGCTAATGTAAAGAAGTATTCAAAATTTCAGGAAGTTAATTAATGTTGAGGTACTTTCAGGTAATTGCTTTTGATTTTCCACAGCATTCCACGTTCCAAGGTCAGTCCTAGGATCAACAGGCCTGTCAAAGCACCGGCAGTGATTTTTACTGGTGGGACATCTATTGAGTCAAGCAGGGCTTGATGGAAAGGTAATCTCTTCGTTAGGCAAATGGATGCCTATATTGAGAATAGTTTTGGCCGCTTTTTTTTTTTTTGCAAAATCGGTCTCAAGTTTAGTCTGCGACAGTCATATTTCCTGTCAAATAATAACAAAAAAAAGGAATATGACATATCTGTACAAGTCATAAAAAAAGCTTTAATTTATGCGAACTTTAAGGGACGATACGCCAGTAAAAACCAACAACAAGAGAAAACAAACGGTAGCTATCTATTGCTGTGGACAATAAGAAACTTAATTAAATTAGCCGCTCTATTGTTGACTCTTGGTCGTAAATTATTTCTTTATCTTTTTTAAAAAAAGGGAAACAAAGGGTGAGGTATATCTTTTGTAAAAAAGTGTCTTAAAAATAGTAAAAGTTGCATACAATCAGGAATTTACCCTTTGCTTTAATATAAAGGTAAGAGCATGCGCATCTAAAATGATATCATGCGTAATCTCCCCTAGACTACTGGATCCTGACAGCGTATTGTAACTTTGCCGTGTAAATCATGAACATGTAATGTAAACTTAATAAATTGCCTACCCTTTAAATTTAAACAACAAGAGGTTTTCAGTTAAATTTTTGTGGATTTTGTGCTCAGCTGTAAGTTTAAATGGGGTAGTAAATCAAACAAACTTTAAAAAGTTTACAAAACGAGGCATTTCGTGGACTTTGAGAGCAAAGAGTCCACAAGCCCTCTATATCATGATCTATTTTAAGGCTTTATGTAATCGTGTACGACACAATCCTCAGCGACTTTCGGTAAACAGGCGGTAAGCGAGATTGGTCTCAGACCTTTTTTCAAATACTCAACGTTCTTTTTCTTGGGTAGAGGGGATACATCTGTGTACTTCCAGATGGTAGGAAGGCGCTATTCTCGTAACGACGCATTAATTATACTACGTACAGGGTAAGCAAGAAGTTCGGAATACTGCCGCAGTAGCCAATTGGGAACTTCATCTGGTCCACAACTCCACACGCCTGAGACGGATTTAATTTTGCTAAGAGTCTCGCATTCTTGTTCAACCACCATCATTTAAACTCTTATAATATTTATTGTGATTGGACCTTCCCAATGTCCTATGATTAATGCCCTACTTTAATTTGCTAGAATTTCTCTCGTTACGTAATATGCTAACCGGTTGCACTACGTGGTGAAAAAGCTGTCACTCTTTGTAATCAGTATAAAAAAGTCCCACCGAGTATAATCTCAGGAATATGAAAACATGTAAAATTCTCCTCAATTGTCCTGATTAGTTCTAATACGTCTAATATTTTCGATTATTTTCTACTTAAGAATGAACTCAAGCCTTCCGTAAAAGACTATTTGGCCGCGGGTGTTGGTGCGGAATTATTCAGCTAGTCAGACGGGTTTATACACAAAGTTGAAATCAGAAGAAGCATCATACCTGTTGCTAAATGACTGCCTTTCTTAGGAGTTATCCCTTAGGGAAACTAAGTCTGTGGTATAAAAGGATTCAAATATTAGAAGTGCAAGGCAACTACACGACTCTGCGCCGAACACCACTTCTTTATAATCGAAAATAATGATCGTGTCTGCTTTTATACGCCTTGTTTATTAAAAAAAGGGGCAATCGTTCAACTAATCAGTGACAAGTGACGTTCTATTGGGAAAACTACAGACAATGCGGTGGATCTATTGTTGTTAATGTAAAGAAGTATTCAAAATTTCAGGAAGTTAATTAATGTTGAGGTACTTTCTGGTATTTGCTTTTGATTTTCCGCAGCATTCCACGTTCCAAGGTCAGTCTTAGGATCAACAGGTCTGTCAAAGCATTGGCAATGATTTTTACTGGTGTGAAATCAATTGAGTCAAGCAGGGCTTCATGGAAAGGTAATCTCTTCGTTAGGCAAAGGGATGCCTATATTGAGAATAGTTTTGGCCGCTTTTTTTTTTTTTTGCAAAATCGGTGTTAAGTTTAGTCTGCGACAGCCATGTTTCCTGTCAAATAACAACAAAAAAATGGAATATGACATATCTGTACAATTCATAAAAACGGCTTTAATTTATGCGAACCTTAAGGGACGATACGCCAATAAAAACCAACAACAAGAGAAAACAAACGGTAGTTATCTATTGCTATGGACAATAAGAAACTTAATTTAAATTAGCCGCTCTATTGTTGACTCTTGGCCGTAGAGCATTTCTTTAATCTTTTTCAAAAAAGAGGGAAACAAAGGGCGAGTTATATCTTTTGTAAAAAAAGTGTCTTAAAAAATAATAAAAGTTACATACAAGCAGGAATTTACCCTTTGCTTTTATATAAAGGTAAGAGCATGCGCATCTAAAATGATAACATGCGTAATCTCCCCTAGACTACTAAATCCTGACAGCTTATTCTAACTTTGCCGTGTATATCATGAATATGTAATGTAAACTTAATAAATTGTCTACCCTATAAATTTAAACCACAAGGGGTTTTCAGTTAAATTTTTGTGGATTTTGTGCTCAGCTGTAAGTTTAAATGGGGTAGTAAATCAAACAAAGTTTTAAAAGTTTACAAAAGGAAGCATTTCTTGGACTTTGAGAGCAAAGAGTCCACAAGCCCGCTATATTATGATCCATTTTAAGTAAAACATTTATCTAATTTGATAGTTCTAACGTCTGTACAGATGGCAGGAGCAGTTTTAAAACATTTGAAGTACATGTATCATACTAGTCATGAAGGTATGTATGATCTGCATTGATTTGGAAAATTAACATTACGTCAAAACAGTGAATGTTGTAACGCGGATTTTTGGCCGGTTCGTAGGCTAGGCTTGTCTTGAAATTTCAAGGTGTTGCAGTGAATATATCTCAATGAAAGTTTCAGACATAATTGTATACATCATGATGATTATCTGATGAGGCTTAAAAGGAATTCTGTGTAGCCGTTCTAGAGATATACAGAAAAGCGCTAAAAGTCAAAATTTAGAATAAAGTTGCACTTAAACAGGTACTGAGAAAACAGGTTTGTTTTTAGGATCGCAAGAAAGAAAATACACCAAAATTTCAAGTCTAGTCTGGGAGCATCTGTAACACCGTGGGAATTTTGTGAAAAAGCAAGCCATCTATCTGGATCTGTTAAGGGGACTCTAAGAAAGACAGACATATTAAATTTTGCAAGCAGAATACTGCAATGCTGATCGTACTACGTGAAAATTAACGCTGCAAGACATCAACTCGACACCGAAAGAATTCAAAACAGAGCGGGATTGTAGCCAAAGACATCTTTTTCGCCCTCTTTGGGGCTCGTCAGTAGGGCGAAACAACCAGAGAGAAAACTCTGGTGAAAAATATCCGCGCACTCTGATTTGAGCCCTGACCTAGAACTCTCAACACCCACTTAATCACGCCATATTACGTGTCTTCTGGGGGGCAAGAGTCCAAGTTTCAAGTTGATGTCTCGCAGAGAAAATAAAAAATTGGCCAAAACCAACCGATAGAACATGGACAAAACCATGCAAGGATTACGGCATATCGGTGTCTTGTTGATGTCTTGCAGAGTTAATTTTCACGTAGTACGATCAGCATTGCAGTATTCTGCTTGCAGAATGTAATATGTCTACTTTTCATTTTTGCTGATCAGGTCTTTATAGATCCTACGTTCTTCGGCATATTCGTTTGCGGTCCTTTGCAGTCCTTTGTGGTTAATGTTTGAACTCTAAGAAACATAAAAAAAGTTTTTGGCAATTTTGTAGTTTGCACCGATGGCGGCAAGGGTGGATTTAAAACGTGACGTCTGTGTTCTAGCATGGAAACGAGGCTGGACCCTAAGTACCCGAAAACCATCTTCAATGACAACAGATTGCTAACAGAATTACTCCTATAACACATATAATAGTGTATCTAACTTGAAAACATAACTGTTTAAGCAATTAAGCTGGTCACGTGACCACAATAGCATGGAAACGAGGCTTCACCTTAAAGCACCAGAAAACCATCTCTAATGACAACAAATTGCTATAAGAATTTCTCATATAACACATATCTGACTTTACAACGTATCCGTTAAGCAATTAAACTGTTCACATGACTAAGATTGCATGGAAACGAGGCTTGAGCTTAAAACCTCGTTTGCCAACCAGTAATAGTCCGTAGTCAGTACACACACACACACACACACACAAAAAAAATAAAAAACACCCATTGAAGTGCCTTTCAGGTTATGTAGAACTGGCCAAGCTTTTACAGGAGCCTGGGAGGCTGCACCATAAAAATTCCTTTAAGTTTTGTTAATGGTACGTTCCAATGACCTACACAAAATAAAGAAAATGCGATTTCCTCACTACCAGGGCCAGACATTAACGACAAGATGTTCTAGCTATCACCCTCCTCGTCGAAGTCATCGTCATCAACATCATCATCATCATCATCATCGTTAGAGTTTTCTTCATCCTTGACAGCAATGTTATCACAAAGCTCATCCCAACCATCAATGCAGCTGCAAAGATCACTGCATTTACTGCCTGCCTTCCGAGACTGAAAACAATCTATTTAGCACAGCCCGGGTTAACTAGATGGGGAACTGCGTCTGCTGCCGGTTGTTGTCACGTCATTACTGGAACCCATTCGCCTTTAAAGAAACCTAGTTTCTACTTAGCTTCATTGTCACCATCAAGAGCCGTTGCTGCAATTGAGAAGTTAGTTTGTCAGCTGTATCCGCCAAAGACTCCCAGTTCTAGTGTGAAAGAACTGCTGAGGTGATTACCGATTTATCCGAAAGAGGGAAGGCCAATCTGAAAGACTATTCTCAAAAAATTGAAAGAGGCCATCAGAATCATCATCATCGTTAGAGTTTTCTTCATCCCTAACAGCAATGTTCTCACAAAGCTCATCCCCACCATCAATGCGGCTGCAAATATCTCCGTATTTACTGCCTGACTTCCGAGACTGAGATCAATCTGTTTCGCACAGCCCGGCTTAACTAGATGAGGAATTGCGACTACTGCCAGTTGTAGTCATGTCAATACTGGAACCACATTCACCTTTAAAGAAACCCAGTTTCTTTTAGCGTTATTGTCACAAAGTCTTGAATACGTTTCTATATCCAAGTAAAATACCTTATTTTCCTTCCAAAGGAGACATCACTGTTTACAAACGTTGTTCAAATTTGTAACGAGAGAAAGAAAAAATCTTTTTCAGCCTAGTGTTTCATTCGAACTTCGATATTTTACAGAAAACCTCTTTTTGAGCACACTTTAACTCATCCTATGACATTATTTTATCATATTTGGTTAAAAACAGTATCCAAAGGAACATGAACATGTGAGATATATATATTTGGAAAATCAGTTGATGCATATGCACGCCTATCGGCAGAGTGCTGAATAGAAGGACTAGAGCGTAGTATAAAAATGCCAAGTCAAATCTCACGTTCACACCAGACAACCTCGACTATATTTGGAAAATAGATGGAAAAAGTTACATATGTTTGGAAGATCAAGCTTTCTTGACCTTGAACTTTCAACTATGATTCATGCAGACTCCGTATCATTTCTCATCTCTACTGATGATCGAATTCAGAAGTATCCGTCAACGTTTGGCTCTCCCTAGACAAATCCATCGGTGAATTCACAACGGTATATAAAAAATATGTGCTTTGATATGGCTTAGGGTCTATAATCACGATTTCGGTTTGTAACTAGTTTCAAGATCATAAATTAACCTATAGTGCGGTCACGGTCATCCATACAGTATTTAGGAGATGCCCTTACCCACGAGCATCGCACCGGTATTGCGAGGTCACGGGTTCAAACCCCGTTGAAGTCCTGAATTTTTTTTTTTTCAGGCTTCTTTACGCAATTGCATAAATTGCGTTCACTGCGACGATCATTTCTTCATTTTCATTTCATTTCCGCAGTTCATATATGATTTATTTCATATATCATTAACACTCATTTCTTTCAAGGGAACATATGAACCCACAATTGACCTGCTCCCAACGTCAGTGGCTTCATAGCTCAGTTGGTTAGAGCATCGCACCGGTATCGCAAGGTCACGGGTTCAAACCCCGTTGAAGTCCTGAATTTTTTTCAGGCTTCTTTACGCTATTGCATAAATTGGGTTTACTGCGACGATCATTTCTTCATTTTCAGTTCATCTCCTCTTTTGTTGCTACAGGAAAGGATTGCGAAGAATTTTGGCTTTGCCTCCGCTTTTGGGTGTCACGTATATTTTGGGTTATTTCATTTACTTCTACATCGCCGTAGATTACCTGTATATTTTGGTGAATTCCGCGCAGGTTTGTTGTTCATACTTGATTAGATATTCATTTACCCCGAAACGTGAAGAGGAAATTTGTAGCTAATTTCCCGCCATATCGCTATTTTGTCATTACTTTTCATGTTAAAACAAAAACATCATTCAGCTTCTCAGAATTAAAATGTGAGGTTTGAGGGAAAATTTTCTTCTTTGCAATGTTGAAACCTCAGTGTTGGAACTATCGCTGGAAAAAACAAACAACCCAAATTAAATGGTGGGGAGGGGTGATGGTTGTAGTTTGTTCTGTTCTTTCAAGCCACCCAATTTAGGGCAATGTATAATTCATCAATTGTGTCGCCGATTGCTGAGCAATGGGCTCCTTCAGCTACCGGTCTTTATGTATAGGTTTTAAACCAAAGGAAACTTCTCTCGATACACAAAAACATACTGTTCTGGAACTCTAACTTAGGATCGGACCAGACCTTTTATTTGAACTTAATTTTATGTTCTTAACCATCTTTATTATCTTTCTTACCGGTTATTTTACAATTGGAGGTCTGCTTCTACGTTCTCCATATCGATATACTACTCAAGCTAGAGAATCTGATGATCAAAAGAATCTGCATGCTTTTTTCAAGATCAAGGAATGCACCAACACATGAATGTTTTCTTTTTCTGTTCACAGGGAGTAATTTTTACCATTTTCACTGCATTTTTGACCATCAGGTATTCGGGTATAAAGCTTAGAATAGCATGTGCTACTGTTGATGATCATAATGACAGCGTATTTTCCTGAATTAGAGGACACCTTCAATATAAATATATACTAGATTTAGCCGGGGCTAAAAGGAAAGTCTCCGTTTACATACTATTGAATTGCTTTTAAAGCCATTCGCCTCTAAGCCATTGAAAATAAACCTTTGAATCCATTCTTTAATAGGCCATTTGCACTAAGAGGTCATGTGACATCGTTTTTATGAAAATGAAAGTTATATGATTTTGTCTTCGAAAATGATTAGGGGGTCATATCTTAAACAAAATAATAGTTATTTGGTTTTTCAAACCCACTACATTTTCTTAAAATGAGTAAGTTCGTAGCTGGTCACGTGACCAAAATGTGATTTTTAAAATTATGAATTACCTCTTTCTGAACACAAATTTTGCACTTAAACTTCAAGGAAGATGTTGAAAAGATGATGTGGTAGCGTTTACAGCACATCTGAGCGTAACTATCACACGTTTAACAAGATATAAGCAAAAAGTAGTTTTGGCCGCTATGTTGGAGGGTAAGAGTATGCAACATGGCGGCCAATACAAATCATACTACTTTGTTGAAAAATCAAAGTGTCATAAAATATCTCCCTTAAATGAGTTTCCTCTCAAATTTTTATGATCTCTGTCAATTTTTGGCATCAGCAAGATTCCAACTCATTGTTTGAAGGAAGCATTGCTTACGTGACCTCTTAGAGCAAGTGGCCTATTATAATAACTTTATTTACCTTTTGAGGGAGGGGTGGGTGGTTTAGAAAAATACCCCGCAAACACACCTGAAATGAAAAACATCTTCGATGAAGGATACGAACGTTCCCGATCGAAGCTCTTCTTACAACGGATGAAGTTGGAACAGAGTTAAAGATACTCGATTTGCAATTAAAACGGGCCTAATAGACGGGAAGAGGTGATTCTTATATTCTCGTTTTCCTTCTCTTATTGTCTCTCTCTGTGACTTCAGATTACTGATAATTGCAAATGTTTTTCTAGGTGTGTACTAAGTGTTTGACTCTGCTTGTAAGCACATACCTTTTTAAAAAGGAGAACATCATGACGTCATCATTATAAATGACCATGATATCAAGCTACCGTTGTTCTTGTCATGGTAAAGAAGACAAAGAACAAGAAGACATGTGATAGTTCATATTAAACACTTTATTGAGATGTTGGGTTTATTTTAGTAATTCTTGGCGAATTTTTTTTCTTGCCTTCTTTCTTATTTGTTTATTAATAGAGTTTTGTTTGTTTGTTGTTGTTTGTTGTTTCTCTCGTATAGGTAATACCTTCATCAGAACGAAAAAGTAAGGCGGTTGGTAAACATTATGTTTTTATCAGTTCATATCTAGGTGATTGTATTTAGTAATACCAATTAGGATCTTGCATGACGAATACCAAACACTCAACTTATTGTATTCATTGCCGCAGCTAACTGTTCCAGTTTAAGGCCTAACATCGAACTTTTCATGAGACCTGAACCAAACTCTAATTTGGGTCGACCCAAATCAAACTGAATCAGACCAAAAAGCAATCTTAATAAGTTTTCTCCCGAACAAGGCTAAATTTACATTACTATACAATTTTTTAAATTTATATAGTTTAGTTCGTTACATGTGAGGCCCTAGCTTTGTCCCTTGGGGGACCCCAGAGCGGACAGAGTCCCACTTGGAGTAACATCTCTCAACTCGCTTAATCCACTGAGAACGCCCGGACAGAAAATCAATTATCCAGTTGATTATTCTGGTTTTTAGAACTAATTTCCATAATTTATCAACAACTATTCTGTGGTCAATTAGATCGAATGCTTTTCGACAATCGAATAGCACAGTCCTGATTGTTGTGCTATTGCCGTCTGTCGCTTGAGCCCAGCTGTGGACCATGTGTATGAGGGCCCGTGTGGTGGACTAATTAGGTACCGCGCCATACTGATGCGGGTCCGGGACCTTGAGAACGGAAGGCTTTATGTAATCGTGTACGACACAATCCTCAGCGACTTTCGGTAAACAGGCGGTAAGCGAGATTGGTCTCAGACCTTTTTTCAAATACTCAATCTTCTTTTTCTTGGGTAGTGGGGATACATCTGTGTACTTCCAGAGGGTAGGAAGGCGCTATTCTCGTAAGGACGCATTAATTATACTACGTACAGGGTAAGCAAGAAGTTCGGAATACTGCCGCAGTAGCCAATTGGGAACTTCATCTGGTCCACAACTCCACACGCCTGAGACGGATTTAATTTTGCTAAGAGTCTCGCAATGCGCAACTCTGAAAGCACCGGGAGGTGAGCTGAGCGTTCTTTCAGGGGGATTTGGGCCAGTGGGCGGGGCAGGCAATATTCTTCCATTGGTTCTAGGAACGCCTCATCGATAGCGTTCGCCAGTCCTGAGGAGATAGCTCTTCGGCACCCTCAGCACGAATATGGTTTCACAAGGCCTCAGAATGCGCGTGTGCACCGGACAAACGTATAACTCCTCTCCACCATGCCTTCGGGTTTTCTTCTTTCATACTTTGTACCTTGGTTTCATAGAGGACAGCTTTACATGATTTTCGCTCACGGTTGACTGTGTTACGGTAGAATTTAAACTGAGCTGACTTAATACCGTGTTCGTTAAAGGCCTTTTAAGTATAAGCGATTTCAGGTGCTAGGTCATCCACGGGACGTCAGATGTGTTCACACGCACCTTCTTAACGGGCATGAGAAGATCGAGCCTTATGCGTAGTACTTTGTAAAACACATTCAACATATCTTCACAGCAGTCAAGAGAGGAAAACAGTGGAGGTCAATCTATAGCACTCAGATGCCTCCCCAACTCTGCCTTGCGACTTGCACGCGAGTCGCGCTCGAGCGTGAACTTTGTAGAGTTTTGACCACTTTCTCTCACTCTAGCTTCTGCCTTAAATGTGTTGTGATCTGAGAGGCCTAAGGGCGGGAATGAATGCGGCTCGTCGTAATATTGGTGCAAGTTCGTAAGAACTATATCGAGTATGGCATTCTTCCTAGTAGGCTTTTTAACAATCTGGTTGAGACGAAAATGTTTATTGAGTGAATTGATGCAAAGGCAATTAAAATTACCAGCTACAATGAGTGCACAATTAGCGTATCGCGATTCAGCAAGCGAGAGAGATTGAAATAAGTGACCTCGCATAGAATCGTTTTCCTCTTTAGTCCAGTGAAGATGGTAAACAACTGCCACGATGAGGGTCGAAAAACCTCTCAGGAGGCGCTTTGGTCGCAAATTAGCCTGCGTACAGCATGTAGCAGGCGTTAAAGGGGTGGGGGGAGGGGAGGTGAGGGAGACAACAACAAACAACAACAACACTTTATTTCACCCCATAATATACAAGAAATAAAAAATTTATAACAATAGCACAGACGATGATAGGGGCGCTGGCTGCCCGAAATAACCTAAGAGTTAAAAATGCCAGGCAGCCAGTTAAAAGAAAAGATGTTTAAATGTTTAGGTCAGGGACACAAGAACAAAGAAAACAGAGAAAGGCACACAAAGAGTTAAGTAAACTACCAGTATATTAAAGAGACTAAAATTCATACATTGCAAAACAGTATTATTTCCATTCTAAAGTTACCCAGACATTTAAAGTCCAAATGAACTTGAACTCCATATCCTTCTTTACCTTCAAACAATCTTTGAATAACACGCGATTCCTTTCTGTCAGGCTCTCTGCAAGATAGATCTTGTTTTTCTCGGAATATCCAAGATCTCGCGTTGTTAAGTCCTTGAGCTGCTTCCTAGCACGGTAGAAATTATCTTTGACATCACGCCTCGCAAATTTAACTATGATAGCTGGCGGTCCAGGCTTGCCTTTGTGTTTTAGGCATTCGATGGCTTACTGAAATGTCATTTTCAGTAATATCCACTCCTAATAGTTTACCGACATCCTTCACAATATTATTAGTTTGCTCTTCTGATGGAGTAGCAGCAACAGGGATTCCTCGGATTTCCACGCACTCTCTGCGAGTATACTGCTCCAGATCATTGTTCGCTCTCGTAACTGATTCCAGTGAACTTTCAATGCTGCGAATTGTTGCCCTCAAGATCTTATTCTCATCTTTCAAAGCATTTCTTTCATCCTTTGAGCTCTTCATCATCTTTAGCAATTCATCGTACTTCGCATTCACAAATTCGAGAAAACTCATCGCCTCATTAACTGATTTTTTATAACTCGGAGATTGTCGAGTTAAGTGGAATGAGTTTGTCGTCTAAAATTTTGGTAAATTGGTCGCAGTTAATAGCCGGCATACTTGTAGACACTCACAATATTAAACAGATATAATATATCACACGCTACAGAACACTAGACTCAAATTCACTACAATTTCCTCAAGAGCGAAGAAATAAGCAGCCATCTTGTCCGCTGACCGCTGACCGCTGACCGCTTACCGGGAGGGTAAGAAAGAAAAGAAGGAGGTAGGAAAAAAAAGGAAAGGGGATTGGAGAGAGAAGGAAGGGAACGCCTGCTATAAGAACCTCGTTTTGTTCACCTCTGCAGACTCTGGCGTCCGCAAATTCTGATTGGTTAATCAGACGATAGAACAAGCTTGTTCAGCAAACCAAACTGGAGATTTCAATTAGCCTGCGTCGTGTTGTCAAACATTTTGCGAACGATGATTTCTCCGTTAGGATTCAAAATCAATACCGGTGCCTTAAGCTTGGTGCTTGGCTTTCCCGTAATATCTTCTATATTACAATAATTCAACAAAACATCGGCCTCTTGTCCGACGAGTGTAAGCGTTACTTGCTCAGGCGCGTGTGTATAAAATGTTAATTTCAATACCAGCAATTCCCGATTCTGCGTCCGACGAGTCACTCACTGTCGAGCTTTCTGCAAACAAGGTCTTTCTAGAATTAACCTGGACTTTTTTCTTTCAGCTGTTCACCGTCAGATTCGAGTCGTTTCTTTCCTACATCGCTCCTTTGTGGCCTGATAGTGGTGGGAAACTGTCTTTTCTCCGATCTTACACAGTCTCTTAATGTAAATCTTCCTCAACATTAGTGTTGCTTAGAGCTTTCTCGATGAAACTGTACAGTTCAGCTGCGTTTATAATTTTGCGACCATAAGGTCTGCAGACCCGTTCTGACAAGTTTTCGTTTCTGGTTAATCGCAGCCTAAAATCAACCCCGCACTTTCAACTCTTCCCGACGACGGCGAAAATAAATTTTCAAATGAGGCTCGTCCTCCCCCAGTAAAGTTGACTCCACAAAATCTACAACTACTGTTGTTTCCGTTCCTTTTTACAAATTTTTGTGGGAGTCGCGGCGCCGACATTCTGTTGCGAAGATTTTCTCATGCTCTACAGCTACGAAACCGCCTTTGGCGATACACTCCCGCGTGAAGCTAGTCATGCATAAAAGCGCACGCCTAATTCTGAGTGGTCGTTGAAGTGACAGCTGGGATAATTGAAATAAGGGGCGAAATGCAAAAGATGCGGTTTTTGTAGCAGGCGTTTCCCTTCTTCTCTTTCTTACCCTCCCCCCTTAACGCCTGCTACGCTGGCTAGTCGCAAATGCACCCATAGGCTTTCATGATCTTTACAGCACGTTAACTCCTTAAGCTTTTTAAATCTAAAGTAATCGTCCTTGATATCAAGACAAACGCCGCCGTGTGCATTGGATGCCCGGTCCCTTCGTACAATGGAAAAGCCAGGAATATCCACAAAAGTGTCTTCCACAGCAGATTTTAGCCACGTTTCCGTTACGAGAGCGAGGCTAACTTTATTCCTATCGATGAATTCCTGCACTTCGGTGATCTTGGGTGTAAGAGACATTGCAGCAGCAACCATAATTTTCGGCGCATGATAACTCGAATTATGTGGCGATCCTGAATCTCGCGAGAAGTCCCACATAGTGTTTTGCAGAGAATCCACTATGGGTGAATGACGGTTCATAATAGTATTGTTAATGAAACTGCAGGACAAGGTGTCAGACTGAATATTTAATGTTCCAGGCAAAGAAAAATACAAATGCTGTTCAACTCCGGCATTAATGGCCGAATTTGTAGGAACCGAAGGTTTGTAATATAGGATTTGACTTGATTGAAGACTCGAGGTTGACAAAGTCACACAAGAAAGACTTTGTTTCTGCCGTCCTGCTCTACATCCGCGACATGTAAGCGTCGTCCTTGATATTCTATGGTCAGCTAGACAACGCCAAAGACCAGTGGCCAAACGCCTCGGTGAAGTTGATTCTGTATATCGCTTGAATGGCAAGGATTTCATTCAAGCGATATACAGACGTATAATATTAATGAAACGGTTTTATGAACAAATTTAGGGGCGAATAGAAGGTTAAAAAGGGTAAAAAATTAGAGAGCTAAAATGGCACGCGTGCCGCCTGTTGGGCGCTCGCAACACATTTTCAATACATTCAGCCAGAAAGACGTACTTTTTACTGTGTTTGGGTTTTTGGAATATTTTTAACTGTTCTTTTGTTGTTTTGCATGCAAAATCAAATCGTTGTTTGCTGAAAACGACGTCCATTATCCTGCATGTCTTATCTTAAACTTTGTTGCTATTAAATAGCTCTAATCTGATTTGCTCTTGTTGGTTTCTTTCGCTTTTCTCAGCCAATCAAAAACCATTTGCAATTTGCACTCGTGTTACAAACTTGCGCTTGTGTTACAGGAGAACTGCTCTTCTTTTTCAGCCAATCAGAAATGAGTAATTTTTTAGTGTATATTAATTATTAAATGACTAATACATGGAAATTGGAGTCCAAGCAATACGGACAGAGGGCCCTAGCCTAAAAACCATAAAAAAATTCCAGCGGGCAAATGCGGTAAACGAATCCACCCTAGGGGACCAATGCAAGGCCTAAGTAAGTAAAATCTCATGTAACCTTATTTTGCATCTCATTAAAGTCGGAAAATTAAAACGATTCGAAAAATTTTTGAGTGACTTGAAAACCATCCTTATGACCGACTTAGCTACTTGCGGCTTCTCGGGTTGTCAATCAAGCTGAATTAATCTCACCATCTGCTGACTCCTCAGCATTATTGTTGACATTTATGGAAACCGTCGTTTGGCCTTTCAGAGCTGGTTCATTGCCATCGCCCACATCCATCCTTCTAACTAGTCAATTCATATCAGAGTAATAAAAGACTCGATGAATCTTTCGATTTTACAAGGAAGAACTATTTTTTCCTAATCGCCACGAAAAAAATGTGAGTCAAGACAATTTTTTTGGAGTTTGTGTTTCCCGCGTTTAACGTGCATTTCATGCAAAAACATCGAAAATGAACTGCGTGTTTACCTCTCTCGGCGGGTTACTATTTAATTGCCCAAGCTGTATTTTTTATATGTTGTACTACAACAGTAGGGCTTTACTGAGATTTAATAATTCTAAAATTCCATGTACCAAGCCATGATTTTTTCCTTCAAAGTTTCGCAAAATTTCATTGTTTATGATAGTGCTAAAGGTAGGAATGTTGGGGCGTTTTTTAACCGAGTAAAAAATTCATTATCTTGCAATATTTTTACCAAATAGTATTGTAACTGGGATGCCTTACTTACCTGCTAAAGATGAACTTGTTTCCTTGAACCGTCTTTCTTCCCGAGGGCTTTGAAAATGGATCATTCAAAGGTTTCAGACCGGCGACTATATGGCGTGGGGCAGCATTTCACTTTTTGCCGGTTTTCTCGAAAAAAAAATCTTTGGAAACTTTGATTGTGATTTTCGAAAATGTTTCACCAAAGGGTTTTTTCTGAGTGAATTGGAAGATTTTCGAAATTTCCGTTTTGACGGCAAATTCTCGATATTTACAGACAGCCGCTCTTAATTTTCGTGAGAAAATTGAAAAAACGGAAAAAATCCTGAGCAGTTGGACAGCTAGAAAACTGTCTTTCCTTGGATAAAATTGCAATACTGAAATCTCTCGTTGTATCACAAATCGTTTACCTCCTATAATCTTCTTTACCAAATCCTCAAGGTGTAATCGAGGAGGTTAATTCTCTGTTATATGCTTTCCTCTGACAGCAAAAGTGACAAAATTAAGAGAGCTGAGGAAAAATGATAAATGAATACAACAAAGCCACTATCATATAGGTATCACGCAGAAAAAGGCATCACGGTAAAAGGCATCATCCTAAAAGGCAGCACGCAAAGAGACATAACTCAAAGAGGCAACCCGCAAAAAGGCATAACCCAAAGAGCCAACACGCAAAAAGGCATAACGCAAAGACGCAACACGCAAAGGGGCATCACGCAAAGAGCCAACATGCAAAAAGGCATCACGCAAAGAGGCCACACGCAAAGAGGGATAACGAAAAGAGCCAACATGCAAAAAGGCATCACGCAAAGAGGGATAACGCAAAGAGCCAACATGCAAAAAGGCATCACGCAAAGAGGCAGCACGCAAAAAGGTATCACGCAAAAAGGCAGTAGGCAAAGAGGCATAAACGCTAAAAGGCAACACGCAAAAAGGCATTGCAAAAATTATATTCGAACGAGGTGAGGTGCTTATTCAGTACTTTAGGCGTGCACTGATTGATATATTACAACAAGTCCAAAACGGAATTGACAAGGATTGCATTTCTTTCTGACTGGAAAACTTAATTGATTTATTTTTGAGATCGGCACATCTTTACCAAGATGGCGGACAGGTTTTAGCGGTTCTTCGTGCAGCGTTAACAGCAGTGGAAAATTGCCGTCAATCTGAGGATGATCCCTCATATGGTGGGATCATCGTCAGAAATGCAATAGCTGTCAATTCCGTTTTGGACTTGTTGTAATATATCAATCAGGACACGCCTAAGGTACCGAATAAGCACCTCACGAGGTGAGCAAGATGGAATGTCTCGTTAGAATACCATTTCGGTTTGCTTACAGTATGTACTAAATAATATTGTTTAAGCTCCAGGCCTGGATCCTAAGGAAACCTTTTTGCAAATTGCCTTTTTTGCGATGCCTTTTTGCGTGTTGCCTTTTTGCGTTAAGCCTCGTTGCGTACTGCTTCTTTGCGTGTTGCCTTTTTGCGTGATGCCTTTTTGCGTGTTGCTTTTTTGCGTTATACCTTTATACGAGTTGTTTCTTTGCGTTATGCCTTTTTGCGTGTTGGCTCTTTGAGTGATGCCTCTTTGCGTGTTAGCTCTTTGCGTGATACCTATATGATAGTGGCTTTTTTAGTATTTCTTCCTTTTACCGTGGTCTTCTTTTACCAACTTTGACTCGGTATATCTCAGATTTGACTTCACCCTTTTCACTTTTAGATTGGATATTGCGAGCTTTGTTGTTGGCAGTAACAAGTCTTTGGCCTCACAAAGTAAGTTCTAGGGTTGAAATCTGTTGGGCAAGATGAAAATTCATGCTGATTTCTGACCAGGCCAAAGACTTAGTAAAAAATTGTATGGAAGGCGGGGGTTGTATGTCTCCTTTTCAACCGCTGGTTTACATCCGGGATCTTGAATAAATCGACTGTCAGTGAGTCGAGAAAAGTTCCATGTGACGATTTATGTGGAGAAAGCGAGAGTTTTACGGAGTAATTTGACAATATTTCGCCCGTGTTAAGCGTGGAAGTATTATGAGTGGTTTTCGGAAGTGTTGTGATTGCCGCGAAACTCATTTATAGTGAGATTTACCGAAAGTGTGGACAGACAAATCTCAGGTACGTGCAGTTGAGCTCGTGTTACCAGAATACTTTGTGCCAAGCATAAAAACGCTTCGTGAGTGTTTAGTTTAGGTGATTTTATCTTAGAAAGCCTATTCTGTGCTCAAAGATTGTGAATTCTTAATCTGTTTTTGGCCGACACTGAGCTGTGGGCCTCACGGTTTGACTGACTAAAAGATTACAATTTCTGGAAGTTTCAAATGTTGTTTAATTCATTGCAAAATCCTGTTATTTGTGCGAGAGAACTTCACCTTCTATTGCCAGCAATAATGCTGTCATTGTTTAGCTTCAGCTGGTGACTTTTAACTGCTCCCCATCCCACTTAGATGTCAATAATAGTTAAAATTCACTTGAAATTTCTTTAGCCACTTTTTAACAAATCCAGACAGAGATATACATATATATAGTTAGAAACTACGAAATACCCTTCCTATGCTTCAAACGTACACTTAGGGCCTCTTCATATGAACCCGGTTGACCGGGCTGGCTCGGTTTTGCCTTGGGTTCATATGAGAAATTTCAGCCCGGTTTCCGAGATGAGAAAAGGTCAAAGATCCTGGGGACAAGATCTGGCACCAAATTCGGGAAACAAGGCAAACATAGCGAAACACAAAAAAATTAACTTTCAGGCCTATCTTAGCATCGGTAACTCTTAAAGCTGTATCACTGCAGTTAATGGGACGCTTATGATGTGAAAAATACAGCAGGCAATGCGAGACGATGCCATCCGGACCGCCAGAATTCATCCCGGTAACTGGTATGAAGTGTTCATATGGCAAAATTTCCAGCCCGCCTACCGAGATCTCGGTTGGAAAAACCGACATCTCGGGAACCGAGCCAAACGACTTGACAGAGACCGGAAACCCCGCTAGAAAAGTCTCTCACTCAGCGTAGATATACCCTCCATGGACATTCTTTTTTCCTTTTTTTTTCTTTTTTTTTTCCCTTTGTTAAAATTGAGATTCTTAGTCTTAACTGTAATGAATTGTAACTTTAACTTAACTGTAACGAATGGTAACAGTTTGAAAAGAGTAAAAGAAAAAAAAAAAAAAAAAAGAGGAAAAAAGTATAATAGTGATAGAATGTATTTTGAGTTTTGGGCTCACAAGTGTAATTTATACCCTCCATGGACATTCTTTTTTCCTTTTTTTTTCTTTTTTTTTTCCCTTTGTTAAAATTGAGATACTTAGTCTTAACTGTAACGAATTGTAACTGTAACTTAACTGTAACGAATGGTAACTGTTTGAAAAGAGTAAAAGAAAAAAAAAACAAAAAAAGGGGAAAAAAGTACTAGAGGTCTGGACTGTGCTTTGCGTTTTGGGCTTAACAGTGACTATATAAGTATGCTTTAACAGCTCGCGCATGCCAAACTTTTCGGTAAAAGACAAGGCAGTTTTCAGACTCTATTCGACCCCAGTTGTAAAAGCATCGTAAGATTTAAATCGATTTAAGCAAGTTATTTTTTGAAAAGTTAAAGGAAAAAAATAACTGGCCTTACCGACTTCTTCGTTTGTGTGGTTACGCTTGCTAGGGTAAAGCACGCACTGCATAAGCCATTACATTGGTACCGAACAAAAGAAGCAATAGCTCGTATGGCCTTTGTTTCGGTATTCATTACAAAGGAAAGACCGCGCAGGCTTCAACCCACTGAAAGTGATTCACCTCACTCTTCACCGGTAATATCACAGATCTATGTTTCGAGTTCGACTGGAAGTAAAATGTCCCGAGAACAATAGCCATTATGCAGCCACTTTGCTCAATATTTGTGAATCTCTCAGTAACTGATTAACTCTTTAAATGAGTAGCTGACATTCTTATACATGTAGTAATTAGATTGAAATAAGGCAAATACAACAAACGAGCGCGATAAAAAAGGAGCTTCACAAAATTAAGAGGATACAAAGATTGCCTTTATTCTAAATAATTGGGTTTGTACGCGGTGATATTCTTAACAAAAACGATGGCTGTACAGCAATTCTACGGACTTTACGTTTTTTTTGTACTTACGTATTTAGCTTATAAAACATTCTAGTAAATTACCAGCTCACCCTTAACTAAAAAGCGAAAAAAGGTTGATCACTTAACCTAGTTCGTCAACATTACACTATCAAGTAGCCGCGGCTTTAGCACAGGCCCATTTGGGCAAATTTTTAGTCATTTTTTTTCAACAGCCTTGCTTGCTCCTTGGTATGTCTAGGTCATTGTTACAGTGCATGCTTTTATTACTGATTATGGAGTTTGTCGAAATACGGTGAAATCGCCTTACGTCTCCCTAATTCACTTAGCCACCCGAACCACGTGCACTTCTCTAGTAACAGAGACTAAAGGTCTTAATGCAGGCCTCGATTAGGAATAAAGTCCTTCCATTTAAAAAGCAACTCACTGAAGAACAAACGATAACTTCCTAATTTTTTTTCAAAATCGGCGGGCTTATCATCCGAGACTCTCCAGCATTGTAATGAATAATCTTGAAGTACCCAGTAAGTTATTTTACAGATGTTGTGATGCGGGTCCTGCATGATTATCTCAATTCCTTTTTCATAAGCATCAGCTCGTTTCATCCAATCTTGAGCAAAGATGAGTTTACCATTTTTTGGACAGTAACCTCCCGATATAATACCAGGTCCCTGTAAACAGGAGCAAAACAATTAGTGAACCCGTGTCTTATCAATATTTGAGAAAACTAGCCTTCTACTTGCTTAGCATTAACTAAAAAGGTTACTAAAGAGAAAACCAGTTGAGACGCTTCTGGCGCATTTTAAAGCAATCGGTCCTTCGGCTTCCCTGATGTATACACAACAATTATTGTTATTCATCGCATTTATACATGCAAATAAGTATTATCGTTTACAATATTTCTTAAATGTACACATCCAAACTTCATAAATATCAGTTTCACCGCCCCTAGAGATGTTATTAGGGTGATGCATATGAAGCCTACTTTACCCTAAGAGTGCCATTGAGGGTAGACTGCAAAACAGTCCGTATTTTTGCGTATTCAAGTACGCGCGAGCAGTCAAACAAAAGGTCTGGAATGAGGCTGAAAACAGAGAGCGAGACTGGGGAGAGACGCTAAAAATACTACAGGTTTTTTTCTCTCACCTCACACGCTTCGCGCGCGTAAGACTCTTACGCCACGCTTTACCGATTTCTTTACTGATTTTGAGAAAAAAACCGACTGTTTTGCAGTCTATTGAGGGTCTACAAGAAACATAATATCGCCCCAAACAGGATAGTGGCCGGTTTAATTGCTTTTTAGAGACGGCCGGGTCTGCTTTTGTGAGAGACGTATGGAATAGAGACTAATAAAATAAACCAGATAAAACCTACAAGACAAAAAATCTTCTATTTTCTGGTAATTTTATCATACGGTTAATGTACTGAAAATGCCACGTTCAGGATCCGTTTTCTTATTATGGAATTCGCAAGGAGAACTCGGCGTTCACAATCCCTTAACACCAGGAAAATATGCTGTTTACTTCACGCATAGTATGCTTCACGTTTTCAAGCACACGGAAAACGTGGTTGAACAGTGCGCTTTCTCTCGTTAAGCGGAAATTTTACCAAACGGTTAATGTAAGGAAAATGTCGCGTTACTCACTCACTTGCATGAGTTTTATACCTGAGCCCGCGATGCTGTCATGTGACACTGGTCAGTGGAAACCCTTTTTTAATAGCTGTCAATTGATCACAAAATGGATGCCCATTACCAAGTTTTACACAGATAGTATTAAAGTGTGCCATTTCGCATCCGCTAACATAATGGGGTGGACGTACGGACGATTTTCTCAGAACCAAAATTTCTTGGAAGCATAGACTACCATATTTTCTTACCATTGGTGCTCCGCTTCGCGCGCGCAAGAGCTCCACTTCAAACTGTTTCTTGTACACAGCACGAAAAGTGAAATTTACCAAACTTTACCTGATTCCTTAAAGTTTCGTTAAGTTCAGAGGCAAACCTTTGCGCACCTTTACACTATCGCGTAAAAGTGCGTAAGGCTGCCGTAAAGGTTGGTCTTCAACTTAAAGAATCTCGAACAAAAATCCCCCATTTCTTCATCACACGTTTACATCACCACCAGCTTTAGCAATATAAGACAGCAATCTCTAAAGAAGTGTGACGATGTCAACATTCCGACAACGCACAAATTAATGTTTCTTCTTCTACAACAAACCCAGCTTATAGATGATAAAAACAAACTCGGTGAATGGTTTGAACCTCATGTCATAAGTAAGTGGAATATGATCGTCTGGGTGAGTGTATAGTCCTGAATAGGACTGTTTTTAAAAGTGACTGACATTTCGACAAACTGTGCGGTAATCATCTTCAAGGTCAAAGCGAGCTGCATCAGGTCAGTGGTATAAAACCCTCAGTATTGACCTGAATGGTCAATTAATTCGCTTTGCTATTGGTCGTCTGTCAGTTAAGCCATGGTGTTATTGGCATGATGAAGACTCTAAATGTGAGTGGTGAGTTTTGATTCGTCTTTTGTCAATATCATAACACTCTCTTTGTTGTTGGTCAAATCGTTGTTTTTTTTTCAGTCCCTCTATTGTTGTGAGTTTTGTTGAAGTCCGTCAATAAGTCGTTTGTACGGTTCCGCTAACTGCCGAATTCAATTCAGGGGCGTTTGTTCTAAGTCAGTAAACCAGCTTGCTAAAGTGAGGCGTTGGTAGTAGTCTGTAGAAAAGGTAATGCATTTCACTGAGTCCCAGTCGATGTGATCGTTTGCCTGTAAATGGTGTTCAGAAACGTGATTGTTGGCATCAACATTACTTGTTCGCTCGTCTAGCTTCGGCCAGTCGCCTGTTAAGGTTTCTGTCGGTCTTACCAATGTTAGTGGCCTGGGAATCGCAGCATTTGATTTTACACACTGCCCTCTGTCTGTCTTTCGGTCTGTCTTTATCATTGACATTCGTAAGCAGTCGCTGTAGACTGGTTACCGGTTTGTTTGAAACAGGTGTGCTGTAACGTTATATTAGGGTTAGATAGTATTGCATTGTACACCTTATAAGTATACAACATTCAAGGTTATCTTTTCTAATTGTACACTGGTGCTTTCCAGTTCAACTTGTTCTCACCTTTTCAGCAAGATGCTTGTCCCGGATACACTCCAAATCTTTTCTTGCTTCTGCCCGTATTCTTTCTTTATTTCTTTGTTCAATTTCATCTCGTTTTTTTTTCGCTTCCCACTTTTCCTGCCTTACAACTTCGTCTTTATGCCACGTTTCCTTGAGGGCTGTAGCTGCTTCCCTGAATTCACTTCCAAGATCTTCAATTAACTCCCAAATAGGTATATAACTTGTGCTAGGGCCACGGTCAATCAAAGCCCAAGTGGAGCTGTAAGAAAGCAACTTTTGGAACGTAGCCGGATTTGTTGCTAGGGGTCCTATAGACCTTACAGAATGGGAAAACCTCTCATTCTGGATGGCTGTATTTATCTCTTCACTGTTTTCTTCACTGTTTGTGTGCTTTTCAGTACCACTGAATCCAATCCTCAGTGCTCCGCCAAGAAATGCAACGGCAGCCTCTGTCAGCTTGAATACATCTTTGGTGCTTTTACTTTCCGCATCAGCAATATTAAAAAACACGCCGCCCAAAGTCTGCACCCCAGCTGGGAAATGGCTTCCGTACCGTTCCATAAAGGTGCGAGCAGACTTTTCACGCTCCAGTGCTCTGGGGTTTCTATCCTGGACAATCGACTTGGCCTTTTTCTCAGCAGTCAAGGAAAGGCGTAACTGGTGTGGCTCGATTCGGAAAACTTTTTTGGCTATGCGAGTGTACTGTAGGGCAGATGCACTGGTGCTGGAGGTTTTTGCAGACTGAGAGACGTGACTGTCGTACTCATGGCTGTTTTCATTTTTCACTTCCCCAATGAAAAACTCCTCGAAACCAGCCACACCAAAACCAATGTTGGTGCTTGTTGACTCTACTGTTTGTACGTAGTCTGTAGCTATGCCCTTTGCAGAGAATTTCATGTAATTTACTTCTTGAGCACTGTTAGGATTGTTTAACGTCATAGTCATTGGAACTAGCAGCAAAGGAATTCCAGCTGGCTTTGGAGGCTCGTATTTGGAGTAATAAATTCCACAAAGGGCTCTCCCAGCGCTGGCCCTAGTGACGATTTCCACTTCATTTTTGTATGAGTCAGCAGACTCTAAAACATCGCTACACTGCTTAATAATTTTATCCAGATACTGAAACAATACCGCTGGCTTTACTTCATCCTCCCTTTGCCAATCCATAGGAAGCTCTAGAGTGCTCATGATCAAAGCCAATGTTTCGTTTAAGGTTTTCTTTGCTGACTCTGATTGATCTTTAGCAATAGCTTTTGCTTCGTCCATTAACTCTTTGGCTTTCTTCAGCGTTTTCAAGTCTGCCGCTTTTGTTTCCATGGCTTGTTGAATAAGTTCGTCGTCATTTGGTATGGCAGCGAGTAGATTCTTGGTTGATTCTGCTTCCTCTACAAGTTGATAAACCTTCTTCATTTCTCTTTCATCGGCTCCACTGCAGCAGTCTTCCAGCTCTTGCAAGCTCAGCCTCGTAAGTTCCTGGAGGGACGAAACTCTCTTACGGAGGTTCTTCACCCATTCTTTTGTGATATCAATAGCTTTAGCACCAAGTCCGTTAATTACTTCATCGTCAGGGCTCATCTTTGCCATATTGGGAATCTTCATTGAAAATGAAATGTTGGTTTTAATCAGTTGGAGTAATAGCTTAATTGTTTTATTAATAGAGAAAACTGAGACTGAAACAAGTTAAGGCTTTAGAACATTGGAATAAGGACGTGAATGAATGTACAGATACACAAATAGATAGATACCTTATTTAGCACAGAATTTTTTAAAAAAATTAACACCTATTTTCAATAAAGCTGTCTACCAAAAGTTAAAATTATAGAAAAATAGTACAATTAAAACAAATTCTTTTACCACTAGCCACTCAAACTAACAGCAAAAGTGAAAATTAGTGATAAAAAAGTCTGGCGCAAAGACTGACATTCAACCTCAAATTGGTATCGAAGATTATTGAGTGTCCTCCATTTTTTTCGTTTGTTAGTTCATCCTTTTGAAAACAACAAGTTAATTATTCGGTTATGGTGAAAAATTATGTAATTTTAAGAAGCCTTTATGTCCAGTACATGTAAGACTTCCTCCATTGTTCGCAAAAGAATATAACCCAAGATGACAGTCGTCCTCGCTGAACAACAAGTTTTCTGGATTTCGCTAAGCAAAAACATACAAATCGTGTAAATGACTCAAACCATACTACACGCATTCTTACGAACAATTAAGTATCTTAACTTTACATGTATGCCTTTAGTTCTGCTGAATTAGGTCCCATTTATCGTTAACAGATTGAGAGGAAGCATTTTCTGTCAAACTAGACGATTGCATTGTGGCGGGTTTGAAACCAACCAATAGAAGCGTTTTTTCTTCTGTGCCGCACGTTGAGAGAATTTTGCAGTTTATCAAAAACAAATGTTTTTGTTAAACTATCTTGTAAAAAAGGGGTTCGTACTTAGCGTGTGTATATGGAGTTGTGGACGAGAGCGGGAAGATTGGAGGGCGCAAGTTGCTCGAGGAGACTTTCTAATAAGCCAATGCTTTATCCCAACATCTGTTGCTTTCTTTGCCGGTGACACCAAGTGCTTCCGGGCAATCAAAAAAAGGTGACCATGACCACATTCGTCAGTGGTGTGATCTGTGGAAAATCGATCTTAATCAATCCTCTCATCCGAGAGCGAGTAGCCTGGGCCACAGACGGAACTAAACTTCTGGTTAAGTCAATCTGCGAAACAGCGCCGAAACCCTTGTTCTGGGACCTCAACTGGCCTCTGATTGGCCTTTTAAAAAACGCATTGTTAATCTGCCAATCAACTTGAAGGGAAATTCGAAACGCATTTCCAGTTATTCCCTTGGGGGACCAGAACAAGGATATCGGCACAGCTTCCCAGACTTTGCTAAACGGGGTTAGATTACGACTGTGACACAGGCTAAGTGAGGGCTACTTTCTATTACCAGAAATAATAGCCCGTTTAACTTTCGTCATCAATCATTCGATGTCGAACAAGTTAAGACGATGGAAGCCCAAAAAAACCTGGCACCTCGTTCGAAGTCCAGAGGGATGTTCGGTATTATCCGACGGTAATAAAGAAAACTTGTCGAGTTTTAAGCACAAATCTAGCGAGTGCAGAACATCGTGACGTCACAAATGTCCTTACATACTCTCTTGGAAAAACGAGGGTTGTCCAATACTCACAAATAGACTGCGTTTCTACCTCGTGTGAGAGCGAAATTGTTTTGCATAGATGGCGTATAGAACGAGGAATATTCATAATAACTATTAGCCCGTTTCTACTTTGAGTGAGAGCGAAATTGTCTTGCGTGGTTAGCTTACAGAACGAGAAATATTCATAATAACTATTAGCGCGTTTCTACCTTGTGTGAGAGCGAGATTGTTTTGCATAGATAGCTTATAGAACGAGGAATATTCATAATAACTATAAGCGCGTTTCTACTTTGAGTGAGAGGGAAATTGTTTTGCGTGGTTAGCTTACAGAACGAGGAATATTCATAATAACTATTAGGGCGCTTCTACCTTGTGTGAGAGCGAAATTGTTTTGCATAGATGGCTTATAGAACGAGGAATATTCATAATAACCATTAGCGCGTTTCTACTTTGAGTGAGAGCGAAATTGTTTTGCGTGGTTAGCTTACAGAACAAGGAATATTCATAATAACTATTAGCTCGTTTCTACTTTGTGTGAGAGCAAAATTGTTTTGCGTGGTTAGCTTATAGAACGAGGAATATTCAAAATAACTATTAGCGCGTTTTTACTTGGTGTAAAAGCGAACTTGTTTTGCATAGATGGCTTATAAAACGAAGAATACACATGGCATGTTTGTATTTCGACCTCGCTTTATTCACCAATAGAACCATTGGAATGACATCATTTTCTATTGGTACCAATCGTACCATTGGTACCAATGGACCATCGGAATTGCCCTGTACCCAGCCAGGTCACATGGGAAAATAAATTAAGTCCCCTTTATGAGATGCATATTCACCAATAGAACCATTGGAATTACATGATTTTGTATTGGTACCAATCGTACCATTGGTACCAATGGACCATCGGTTTGACGAATCGTATCCGTTTGTGTACATTGGACATGTGTGGAGGAGGGAAAACACCTCCCAGCCAATCAGAGCCGGCGTACTAGGTTAGTTATTTTATTATAAGCAACACAAATTTATAGATCACTCGAACTCCGTGTGTAAAAACTGTGTCTTTATTCCATAAAGAACAAACATTTCACGTTTCTATAGATCCAGATGCAAATCAACTGTGTCAAGTCCAATTTACAATGAAATTCAAGATTCGATACCGTATATCCTGTGCAAGAGTTTTCTAAAAGCAAAATGTATGCTCAATATGAGTTCAATGTTCAAAGGTTCAAAAAGAAATGTCCGAAATGCAAGAAAAGTTACCGACTGTTTTAAGTTCCACAATTATAAGCAGACGCTTCCAAAATGACAAACTTACAAGGAATCTCTGGTTTCAAAACACGTGGTTACATTGCAGGCAAGGAATACGTGCGCAGCGGTAGTAACAACAACCTAGACTATACAGAATTATTGTACTGCATGAAAACGAAAAGTTAACCAGAACAGGCAGCGAACAGCTTTTAAGAGAAAACAACCCACTATAATACCCATCAAGATAAACGGGCCTTATTCAACCGAAACTGATAGAGATGATCAATAGACGATTAGCTATAATTTATGGTTGACACGAAAACACATTGTGCCACAAGATGAAAATATTTATACGTTTCAAGATTCATTTCTTTTAATTTTTATCTTTCTTCAACCTCTAAAAAAGGAATTAGTTCGTTTGTAATTTGCGACCTCGAAAAGTTTAAAGAATACCCACAGGTTATTTTCCATCGACTACAGAAACAAGAATCGCCAAAAGGCGAATTTCAATGGGCTGCCAATTTTTCTGGGAGAAGGGGTTGGCTGCACACTTAGGCCACCAAGCTTGTCGCTGACCACTGCGTGACGTAGCATCTCATGTGAGACTTAAACAGTTACTCATTTGAACATTGTACCCTTTTGGAAGACTTTCGTAACAAGAAAAATGAGTACTATTTTTAAGTCGGGGCTGTACATTTACCTTTTCAAATTTCACCATTGTGAATAAAAAAAAAAGCAAGTGAGCCATTCTAAGCAGGAAACAATAAGCGTTATTTTCACGCACCCCTTCCCCAATCCCTCTGCTCTCCAAAATATAGTGCGATTAATTTGACCTAACTGGAAAATCCAAAAATTATTGTCGTTGGCGACAATAACGAACTCACTTTTTTCAAGCGATTCATCTCGAAGCTCAAAAATTGACCTTAGAATAGTTAAAACCCTGCATATACTTTATATACTTTACTTTATCCCCTCACTTTACAGTGTTTCTTTTATTAACATACAGGTTGTTTACATAAAAAGGTATGCTTGTTAAAGCTAGCTGTGAACTTTCAAAGTTTATCGAAACTCGCTAATGCTATTGTTGTCAATCGTGCTTGTTGAATTGGCGGAGACACAGAAGTTAGGAGAAGCATAACACTCGATCACGCACAAATTTAATGATACTGATACAAACGAAAGCAAAAACTCTGGGCCAACTCACCAAGCCTTGTGCCAGTAAGTAACTTGCCTTAGTACTCTATTTCTCTCATGTTTGTATTTGAAGCTCCCGGTGAAGCTTTGGGATCTCGAAGCTTCGCCGCCTTTTTGCCCTCTCGCCAATGAGACTATGAGATGAACTTGAGTGCGAAATTCTCAAAGTTCCTGTTTTCGTCGGACGAGTGTTCTTTATCCTATTATACTGACATTTTGATTTTTTTATTTAGTTTGTTTTGTTTTGTTCTGTATATTTACTTTTGTACCTTGTTTATGGCATTTATGACTACCAATGTATTTGCTGAGCTTCTTTCCTGATTTTCACAATTTTAATTATCGTAATTACGCCGGTCACCCAACTATTGTAGTTTAGCATTTTAGTTATTTTGGGTGTCCCTGACTGCACCAAACTCCTTCAGGTGATCCTCGCTTTTCACCTCATTGTTATCTTTTCGACAATAGAATGAACTGTTTCATCTTTTAGCATAGGGAAGATCTGCGTTCTCACGGCGTGTTTTAATGAAAACTTCGTGCAAAACACTGACATAAATTCCTTTCCAACTATAAGCTAGCCCAATCGATTTTGAGATTATTTCCCTCCAAGTATAAGCCAAGCCGATTTTGTAATAAAACCAACTTTGTAATTTTCCATCATTACCAAAAGCGACTTGCTTACCAACGAAAACTTCGCATGTTTGTTAATGAAGAGAATAAATATTTATTATATACATACTGAGAAATACTCACCAAAAAGCTATGTCGTAAATTTTCGTACGCAAATTAGTTCTAGCCAATCAGAGGAGCGAACGATGGTTTTCACACGTGAAAAAAATGATACGCCCAATCAGAATCGCGAACGATGTTTTTTCACGTGTGAGAAAAAATGATACGTCCAATCAGAAGCCACAGAAGTGTGTGAGTTTCACGCCAAAATTCCCGGCTTTTTATTGCAGCTTGCAGCGCCGCTTCGCACACATTCAACGAGAAAAGTTTTACTCAAAGAGTTTTTCTTGCTAAAAAAGTGAAAAACGTTTCGGAAATGGAGTGAAATAGTTTCGTTTGTTTCACTGTCGATAAAGAAAACGGTAGAGAGCCGGCGAAACAACAGCGGAAAGGGATAAACAGAACGAGACGTAAGCTTTTGTTGTGCTTTTTGTCGGAGCTACTTTGCCTTTCATTTAAGCTTAAGCCTATATTGAAACCGGCCATTTTACTTAAATTCACTCATTTTCAATTGTGCATTGAGAACAAACAGTTAAGATTACTTATAGTTCTTGGATTACCTCATATCCTTACCGTCATTTATGTTTTTAACAAACACTTTTTACTAAAAAGCTGATACTTCGTTTTCGTTGTCATTTTGCGGTAAGTGTGCAGCGGCAGATTTTAGCATTTTTGAAAGATTTAAAATAAAAAGGCAGCCAAAATGATGAATGTCTCAGTATGTATATAATAAACACAATACCACATGGAAAGTGCTTTATACGGTATTTACGCACTCGTTGTTTTTGTATCAGAAATCTTACTCGTTCGCTGCGCTCACTCGTTCGATTTCTGATACGTCACAACTTGTGCGTAAATACCGTACGCCAGCACTTTCCATGAAGTATTCTCTATGTTCATCTCGAGTCTAAAATTTACATAGACTACATAAAATACCTGGGCGTTCTTATTGATCAGAATCTCTCTTGGAAATACCACATTGATTCTATTATTGCTACAAAAATTAGTAAAAATGTTGAGCTAATTGCAAAGCTACGCCACTCTGTACCTCGACCAATACTACTGAATATCTATAAGTCACTAATTCATCTTTATTTAACCTATGGTCTTGCTGCCTGGGGTCAGGCATGCTGGACGCATCTTAATAAAATTCTAATTCTTTAGAAAAAACCTCTTCGTTTGTGTACTTCGCAGACTGACTATTTCTCGAAGCGAACGTGCTTCCAATTACTTTTCTTTATTATGAGTCTGTATCAACCTTAATGCACGATATCAATAATGATAAAGCCCCAGCAACATTCTTTCAGAAAACCTCTAATATTCACTCACACAATACACGATCGTCTAAGTCTGGAAGTCATTTCTATCTTAAAAGTTCTAGACTACAAATACAAAACAATTCTTTCTCTCGGCTTGGAGTAAAGCTGTGGAATAAGATACCACGCAAAAGATTCTCCGCAAATTGCTATTTGATATCCTTGAAAAGGAAGACGACTATATTCAAATCCCATACATGATTATTCAAAAAGTAGGTACATAGATACACTTGCTAAAGGTTTTAATGTCTGTTTTTCTTTTTCTGTGTTATCATTGTACGTCAGTAAGCAATGTGTTAAAACTTCTGTGTTTTATTTATTTTCAGTTGCAATCTGCAAGGCTTTCTAATAGTTTAAGGTTTTTGTTTTTACTAGATAATTGTGTTATTGATGTACTGGTCTTGCCCCGCCACGACTAGCTTTCCAGCTATTTGAGGGACAAACTATTCAACTTTTGTATTTTTTGTTGCTGTTGTAACGGAAACTTCCCTCGGTATATAAACCCCTCCAAAAATAAGCCCCTCAAAAAGGGCCTTTGAAAAATATAATCCCCAGGGCTTATTTTCAAGATTATGAGGTAGCTTTCTTTGACCAGGTCAAGCATAGAGCACGTAATGAGCGACATCCCAGTGTAAGGCAATGCCTACATCCGTCATCAGCGGCAAAAAGAGCCGCCGGGTCAGAGAAAGGAATTTAGCCGAGTAAAGTCCGATACCTATTTTGAATCACGATTATATGCTTTTATATCAACACAATATTTCTAATTATCTTCTTGTAAGAAGGAGAAAAAAAAATACAACTCCAATGTTCATTAATGAAGCTAGAACATGCATATAGCCTTCCTCTCGACGATTGTCTCCGTTGCCTGCGGATAGAGCGAGGGCCAGGTGTTTTCCAATCAAGCGTTGATCAACATGTTTTCTTTTCGAAGATTATTTCGTCTTTTGGCAAAGTATATCAGGGGTATGGATTACTATGTAAAGAATACAAAAAGCAGACCAAAAAAAAAAAAAGAACAAACAAAAACAACTATAACAACGTCTCAAGGAAACTTGTTAATTGACCTGTTCCACTGAATCCTTCTTCAGTCTTCTCGGAATCCTGCTACTGAGGAATGACATAAAGAGTGCCCTCACAAATTAAAACCGCATTTCATCGATGTTTGTTCACATCGACATTAATTTTTGTCTTGTGCGGGTAAGTCCTTATGATTCGATTTATTTAAGTTATAGTGATGGCTACTGCTAGCAAAAAACGAAACAAGATCTCATTGAGTTTTCGTATTCTAGGAAATTTACGATCCACTTGGCGGAAAGCCGGGAGAGCTCAAAAGAGACATAACAAATGATGCAACAAGACTTTCGGTTTCGTTTTATAATTTCAAGAATTTGTAGAAGATATGATACTCTCAAATGATGCTTCCCTATTCGTGTAGTTATAAGGCAAAGAGAGATAATGCACAGAGAGAAAATAAATACAAATCAATAAAATGTTTGTTCGCTTACAAAATTCAGAGGGGACCTTGCACGCAGAATGGAGACTTCTGCTACACTGTAGATTTCTTCCTTTCACACGTACGTATTTGTAGAGAACCCCGGCGCTAAACTTTGAACGCCGTCTTCACTTTGTCCAGTTTCTTTGTTCACCGGTATGCTTATTGATCGCTTCCAAAAGTGTAAATGCTATTGGTAATCGAGTTAACGCCGTATGAATTCTCAGAAATCCGATAGCAATTAATCATTGTTCTCAAAGAAATCTGAACATGTATTATAGTGCTGGAGTCCATCACCTTAATCTTAGAAGTGTACCTCTAGCTTCTGGGCTGCTATTTTAACTATACAGCAAAAAATCAGTGTAGTTTCACATTATTTACCAGTGACCCCAAATCTTCGTTTTCGTTTGGAGACAGCAATTAATTGTTGCAGTTTAATGTCTGTTACCAAGGCTAGCAGTTCTAAATAACGGAAATCCTGGTAGTCGACTCAGTGAATGGACGAATCTCTTTCTTTTCCACAAGTAAAATGTGTAACTGCTTCAATGTACGTAAATAAAATAAAGGAAGCGAAGTGAAATTGTGTTAGGGCAATTATTCATAAAGACTGTACTTTTCTGTTGCCATTAAACTTGGAGAAACAGTGTTCGCTTATAATGCTCAATAAGCTCTTTCTTGTCTAGGCTAAGGTGAGATTCGTTTTCATTCCGTCAACAGAAAACATTCTGTGCCTTTGTTTGCGAAATGCGGAGTATCTCTGTATACCCTTTGAACAATTAAAGAAACCAATAATGGTGGTATGATAAGCAAAAGAAAGCCAAAACTGGTTCCAAGAGGTGTCCTTCTCCCCTGATATGTTTACTTTAGTACGACAACATTAGAAATGCACATAGTATTCTTTAGATAAACACTAAGTGTAGAATGTTAAGCTACATTTCTATATAGATACGTTTTCTTGCCTTCTAGGAATTTAATTCGTCTGGTAGCATGCCAGTCGTACATCGAATTTGCCATGTATCGAGTAGTACTGCATACCAATTAGAATATGACTAATCTAGACTCCTATGCCATAACAATTTTTGTTTACAAATGGACGTACATGCATGTATTTTGTTTGAGAGAGCTAAATTATGAATGAATGCATAGACACGTATTTCTTACCTCGATCACGATTGCACTTTTTTTCACGGCGAATGCTCTATAAGATTGTCTAGTTGGGCGACGCACAGACAGTGCGATACAATCGATATTAATTTACTTCACAAAAATCTTCACCTTTAGACGAGGTGGGGCTCCACGAAAGAAGAGAAGATATTAAGATCACGTGAACACAAGTATTTTCCCGGAAAAGACTGTTTTCCAGACCTTCAAGGAATCTTTGGAAAGTGAAACAGCAATTTTTCAGCTGATTATTAACCTTTATTGAGAACGTCTTTTAACCAGATAACAACTAACTCTCCCCAAAACGTCTATGGAATCTTAATTACCGGGGCCCAGCCGAAGGCTGGCACCGGTCTTAAAATGCAGTCTGTTTCTGTCTTTTTTTCAACGTTACATTGTTAGGGATATATCGCTGACTGAGATATATCGCTGGCTCACTGAAATCTTATCCGCCATTTTGAAAAGCACGAGGCATGGAGGACAGTCAAGAGAAAGATTATAGCTTTTTCGTTCCCCAACCTTTACGATGCATTAGTTTATGAGCGAAAGTTTAAGAGTGAATATTTGGAGAGACAAATTTACGAGCGATCACTTAAGAGTTAATCACTTATCAAAGCTATCTACCTTGAGTGAACCTTCCATCGTGAAATTTATCGAGAATCAAAGCGAACACTTATCAAAGCTAACTTTATATCATCTTAAAAAA